ATTTTAAACGTCTCTTACAGGAGTGCCGCGATCGTAACGGATTACATTTAGATGATGTAATTTTCAAAAAATAATTCCCATTTTATAAGGATTATGACAAAATAAAAACCTTTTTCATAATGTCATTAGTTTTTTTTAAATTATTTTTTTACATTTCAAGGGACTTATGGGCCATCCTGTATAATGACATACCGAATCTTTAATAAATCTTCTAAGCTTAGCTATCGCAGTTTAAATATTTTGTTCTAGAAACTACTAATAGAATTTGAGTCGATAATAAAATAAGTCACATATAAGGGAGCTAAATAAGGTCTCGGAATAGAGGCCAAGTATAGAATTATACATATTCCAAATTATTTTATTTCTAAACATCTCAACTTTTCTTTGATTATCCCCATATGCATTCAAATCAGTTAATCAAAAATTTAATCATGTTAAAGCAGGCCAAAAATGTTTTTCTCCTCAAAATAGGCAAAAATAGCGATCTTGATCTCACCTCCCACTTACTAATTTTCATTTCGCTCCATTTTTGTCTTTGAAAATAATAATCGCTACGGTCTAAATTAGGCTTGTGTAAGGTGATTATTCCAAAATTGCAGAGCCCATTTTTGTTCAGTAACGATAGCAACTTATACACTGGCGCCATTTTTCGTGCAAAAGCAGTTTGCCTTCACGTCGTCTTTCAATTACATCAGCAGCGTATTCTCTCGTTACAGAAACACTTGTAAACAATGAAAAATATTGATTCCTTCTTAATTAAAAAAAAAGCTAGCTATTAGTTATTCGGCCGATTGGAACATCTTGAATTTCTTGGGAGGTGGTGTCTCTTTATTTTGTTGCTACTTCATCAAGTTTTGCCTCGTTTCGCTTAGACTTAAGCTTAAATTATATCTCTGGTAATAAACCGACCCAAAACTTTTTCCTTGTTCTCGGTGCGGTTCTACTGTTATGGACTATACGCTACACTATGTCGTCCCGTTGGTGTCGTAAAAAGCGCCAGAGGGTAAAAAAGCAACCGGGATATATGGGCAGCGGCGTCATGCCAATTGAGAAATAAAAGACGGTTGCCAACCCGTCCGCCAAACATGGCAACTAATATAACCTATGGAGGTTCATGTTAAAAGTATAATAAAAATAAAATAAAATAAATGTTCTTACTGCAATTACGGCTTACACAAATTACAATATATCAAAGGAATACAGAATAAAAAACAAGAAGGAAGTGCTTCAAAAATTATTTATTTATTCGTATATATAATTTATATATCCATTTTATAATTAAAATCAACCAATGCACACAACATAAAACTTTGTAATCACGCCTCATATATGCCCGCGGACGAATTTCACAATCCTAGCCAAAATATGTTTTACGAATTCCGAAAATTGACCTTATGTAATGGCAGTAGGTTTCATGTTCGAAAGCATATTTTGGCAAAGGCATTTTAAGTATACAAAGATTAAAAAACTAGATACGCAATAATAATTTATTTAAAATTTCTGTCTATGAAATGATCGCCAAGGGATCATTTAAAACACAGTGAGTAAATTACTTTAAAAATTAAAAGCTTGGATTAAGTATTCGTAAAATTATTAATACTTTCGCTAAATACTCGGTATATAAAAAGAAACACAGTATTGTGCAAGAGGAATGACAATGGATATCTTTACACCATACGAACCAAATTGCGAATCCTTATGCAAACAAAAAGCGACAAAGAATTCACGGTTGTAAATAAGTACTAGTAATTTGGATTCACCAATCACAATGTTCAATATCGTTTTAAATTATAAACAATTATTGAAATAAATAAACCCTAAAATAAATAAAAATAATATGACTGTTGAATTATTAAACATTTACAATCTTTTAAAGAGAGTCAAGTACAGCATAATTAGTAAAAGTATAAATTTATATGAAAACAAAATTAGATATGAATAAGCGACACTAGTGTAAACAGGGACATGCCAAGGGTTGCTAGTTGCCAAAGTATTTTCAACTTTTTTTTAGTAACTAAATTATTTGAGTATTAACTTAAGTGTGATAATCCTTTTTTTAGCAAATATAAAAAGAACAATAAATAGAAAGAAGTTAAGAAATATATTCTTCTAAAATAAAGAAAATAATACTTAGTTATATCTTTTTTGATTTTTTTATCTTCCTGCAAAGTAACATTAAATCCAGTAGTCCTAATTTCAGATATTTATAGGTATTTAAATTTATATAGAAATCTGAAAACCTATTGAAACAGTTCTTACAATAATTCACGAAAACGCATATTAATATTTTTAAATATGGAGCTCTCATGTGACTATAAATTGTAAAAAAAAATAGCTCGTTCTAGTCAAAAATTCACTAAGTAACCCCAAAAAGGTGTTTTACGATGTTTTTTTTTCTGGTTTCAAACTTATTTTGGTTTGCTAAGAAATGGCGACCGTCAACTTTATGTATAAGAAAAGAAACTACACTTTTCAAAGTATGCATGGATTTTTCCTACTACTAAAAGAAAATATTTTAGTCACCAATAATGTTATAAATTTGAAAGAAAAGAGAATGTATTCATTCGAATATAACAGCAAAACGCCTGTCACTTTTGAATTAGGCCCTAAGCTACACTTACTTGCTCTCTAAATTTATATTCCCGTCTAATGCAATAATTTGAATTAATACCTATTAATGAACCAATCCCTGATCGCAACTTAAAGGCAGTAATTAAGTCTTGTACAGACTATTTAAATACACAAATCGCATGGCATTTGCGTTCAGAAAAATGCCACTTAAATTGTCCAAGCAGATTGTTCCATACAATAAGCTTTAATATAATAACTGTTTAATAATTTTTACACACCCAAATACACATTTACAAATTCCACTCGACTACGACTGAATTAACTGGCCACCGAAACGAGAATTTAAAATTTTTCAAATCGAATAAAATGCAGGGAATAAGAGACTTATTCAAAATACTGCTTCGTTGCTACATGCAAATTATTTAAAAAAATAATATTCGAAAAATGACATCAATACTCTATATTCTCTATGCTTAAAAATAGATCTCGATCTAATACTTTTTATCGCTAATATTACTTTTAATGCTAATATATACAGTCAGCTACATAATTAAATACAAGTACATCCAACAAAATAACCGTGTGCGTGTTGTCCGTTCACAAGTTCACAACAATATAAATCACACCACTTGTCCATTTATTAACGTCCTAAATGAGATTCATATCTTACAGAATTGCTGCCTCGACTGATGTCATGACCTAAATTATTAATGGAGTCCTATTTGTTTTGGAATGTATATATATTATGATAAGTCTTTGCCAAGTTTTGTAGGGTTTCAATTTGTAAGAAGCCAAAAATATTGACATTAATATACATGTTATTAAAAATCTACTTTTATGGATTTCATAATAAAAGAAACAGTGTGAAGTATAACTATATGAGGAAAAATAATTAGTCTTACAATGTTTTGTGCGGAAAATGTCAGCGATAGTGTGTTGTTTACTCCATTTCAATAAAAATATGATTAATTTTAATTTATATATGAAACCATAAGTAGAAAGTAAAGAGAGAAATTTCATTTACTATATTATGTTACAATTGTTTTAAGGATAAACATTTAATCCATGTAAAGACACAAGAAAAATGACATAATTTTTACTACACCTGATCCTACTATCCAGGCGTTTGGTCGGTTGGCTGGTTAATCGTCGACGTCATAGTATTTATTAGAGGGCAATATCTAATAGCCGACGACCTATCGCGTGAAGAAACTTCTCAGGAGGACTTGCATCGTTAAGCAAAGTTCGAACAGACCCATCGGAAGTGCAGCGTTCTCGCAACGCACCTTCGTACGTCAAACAAGGAAATATCTAATAATCGACTCCTGCTCAGGTTAACGTTATGCTCGCGATTTGTGACATTGTACATTTACGAGACAGTCAAAATCAAATATTTTAGTATTACTGATATCACAGAACATATTATTGTGTTCTTGTTGAATGCAATATTTGTAAAACGGTTATAAATGAAGACAACACTTCGTCCATTCAGCTTCCAATGTCAATCATACATCAATATGATGAACATTTAAAAGAGAATTTAAATAGATATGTACACTTCAGCTTAAAGCTCACTGTGTATTAATATAACAATAAAAGACAAAATATTTGAATCTGGCTTACAAAGTAAACACATGTGGGGTGGTCTGCCGACCGAAATGTGTCCAGAAGTTGTTCTTCGATCGTGCTAACCATGGTTGAAACCTTTCGCAGCATCGTTCACCGGTTTTTTTCTCTTTCTCTTAATTCTCGGCCGTTTAATTACTCATGCCGAGAAATTTTGTCTTGATGAGATTTACTTATTAATTCAACTTTATTTTTCTACTGTTGTATTATTTCATTGTATCATAATATTTTTGTTTATCGTACATTCTTTATATATTTTTACGTAATTAATATATTAATCCAACCACACGAAATATTTTAGAAATATTCACCATAGTAAAACTATTGTTCTAGAATAAGTAATAACCCAAATGTTTTTAATTGCACACAAATAAAAAGCCATTCCTGAGAGAATTTAAGTAACAGCAAATACATTAAACTTAGTTGTGGCAGTGTTTTTTCTCTTTAGCTATATAATGTTCTTAAAAACTTTCTACTAAAGTATTGTCTTATAACTGCATGTATTTTGGTAATGAGGAAGCTTTATCTATTTGTAAGTGCTAACAGTGACCAAATTCAAAAATAGTCAACATAACATTGTTTGTCAGATATTTCTACTACGTTCCTCTTATGTTTCACATTCATTTATGTGATACGTTAGTAGAGTGAGCTTCACTTTTCATTTAGGGATCGGAAGTTTCACTTCCCTTTTCCAGTGAGTGTCCGGGTGTAGTGAAGTTGTCGCAGCAAGGCGTGGCACTTGGTGTGACAGCGACGTAGTGTGCGGAGGGCGGCGGGCCCCGTGCGGCGGCGGGCTGGCGGGGTCACGCGTGCGGCCAGCGCGCGTCGAAGAACTGGCGCATGCTGTGGCCCGCGCGCCCCACCGGGCTGTCGTCCTCGTTGAACACCTCGCAGTTGCTGAAGATCAGTCGCACGTCCGACGCGAACTCCTCCTTGCATTTGTAACTACGCACAATCAAACAAAAATATTCACAAAACATGCCAAGAATTATCTCGTAATAGGCTAATTATGTCGCCAGTTCGGTCATTAATTGGACGGCTAGGCTCTTTCACTGCTCACCCACCTGCATATCCGGCCTGGTGAGTATATCGAAACTTAAAAATAGCGTCACATTGTGTTTAAGCAAGTGCTGGACTCAAATGGTTCAAAAGAAAAAATCTAAAAGAAACTGCAGGATGATCTTGTGATATTCATCACCGTTAGAGATAAAAATAATTTAGAGTCGTCAATTTGCCATATCCTACATAGCAAACCCCTTAGTTTATGATAATTAAAACTGTTTTTATATAATATATAATAAAACCACCTTCCTACAATGGAGAAGGAAGTCCATGTCCAACAGTGAACTTTTACAGGCTGATGAAGAAAAATATATAGAGTAAACTGAAGGCGTGTAGTAGTTTAGTATTATCTTTAGTTTTAGTAGGAAACAAGGTGTGTATAAAAAATATTTTATGTTGATACTCTTGCGTAGTGTTTAGATCTTAGGCGATAATGATGAGATGGATATGTATACTTAAGTAGAATTTGCGATATAAACTTACCATCCATCGTGAAGCTTGCGTTTAATAGTGGACAAGTCCATGGGACACTTGATTACTTTGCGATACTGCGGAAACTGCTTCGTGTTCACCGGCACTAAGAACGGCCACGCGTGCTCATGACACTCCATCTCGCACAGCAAATTTCTGCAATTAGTTCAATATCAAATAGACTGTTGTATTAAAAACAAACAATGAGACGTGTCTTATGCTCGGCGTCGCTCGCAACGAATGCGTTTAGATAAATATGGTGTTAGAGAATGGAGAATGGGTCACACCAACATGTTCTAATTTGACAATAAAACCTATATAGCTTTAAAGCTATGTTTATGAAAATAACAATAGTTTTTGTTTCATCCAAATTGGTGCAGAAATACAAAAGTTATAACGTTTTGTAGTTTCGCAATTTTTTTAAATTTTACCCGCTCGTTCTGTGACGTGACGTCACAATCCGACAGAGCGAACGCGCAGTAGGTATTTGCTAAGTTAAGTACTAACCGCGCGCTCGGAAGTATATGGTCGTTTACCTACGTATTATATCGAATGTCAGAGTTAATGTCCGATTGACTGTATTAGATGACATAATACTTATAATAAACTCAACGACTATATAATAATTTTGAACTAATAATTTATGAATAATCTAATCCAATGTAATCAATATTATTTAAGATGAATAATTTCATCTAATAATCTAATCTATTATAATGAATAATGTAATCAATGAACTATTAATAATATTTGTATGTCCATGAAGCTGATCACAGACAACTTTGTGTTTAAATAAGACGTTTTTTAAACTGAATCACAAATGAACTATTCGATTTGATTTATAAACGAAAGTATTAAACATTTAGCTTTTATATGATTATATTTATATGTATAGTCACGGTGTGTAGTGCTGTATAAAAAAGGAAATAGAAGCGGGCTTTGAAAAAATAAAGCCAGTTAACCTACCAAAAGTGGATATTTTTATGGTTGCGCAGTATTTTTCAGAAAATTATGATTTTTTTATCATCAGAAATGCATGGAATAAAGCTCTAAAGGTAAGTTACAAATAAAAGATTACGAAAAGTACGAGTATACAGCTTAAATATTGATTAGTAACTAGGCAGTAATACATAGGTACATATTAACTGACCGAACCACAAAGTTGCACATGATTTACAACAACATAAAATGAAAAAACTTACTAATCCAGTGAGTATTAATCAACTCGTATTGTTATTTATTACCTACTGACACGTTAAGAAATTTTGTTGGTTACGTAGTTCGTCAGTGGTTGCAAACATATGGTCCTAGTTTTAATTTGACTTACTTTTGAATAAACTGATTGCGGTATTACGTTGGTAGTTGGTACCTATTCTGTTTTGAAAATGCAATGGTCGCAAACATTCAATGCGTATAATACTAAACTGACTTTGATGAAATTTTGCGTTAAGGTATAACTTGATCTACAGGATTTTATCTTCTCATATCGGACTTTTATTCCCAAGGAGCGTGATATAACAAAAATTAAAAAAAAAAAAAACAGAAAATAAAGGTGACTGATAAATAAATAACATAACAAGAAAAATATTAAACAAAAGTAATTATTAAAAAAAAGTAGCAAACCGTATGTATTCGGTACCGAGTAACGGGTGCGCCATCTAGTACCGAGTAACGAAACGTTACACACGAATGCATTTCGTTACTCGCATTTTTCGTACTATAGGTAACTACACTGTTTCAGTTCACGCAAGTACCGTTGATGTGTGTATTGAAACATTTGCTGATCGTATGTTTTACGCATGCGCACGCTTATTCCGTGAATTTAAAAACGTGCGTTACAAAGAGCGATGTGCGATGCGATGTTTGTTTAATAAGTAAAGTATAATTTGGTAATCCGTCGTACAAGTTTTTTACTGTTTATTAAAGGTATTGTGTGTGTAGACAAAGTTTTGTTAATATATAAATATGTTTTCTACAAATTATGAATGTTGCGACGCCGCGACGTTATACTGTAGGTACGCGTACGCAATATGACTTGATTCGATGCTCTAAAATAACATAGCATGTTATAAGGTATCTGGAAGTAACGGGTAACGTAACGATACGATAGTAACGAGTACTAATTGTTATAGTAACGAATACATACGAGTACGCTCTTTTTCGTTACTCTTACACCTCTAAAAACATGGAGTAATAAATATGGAGAGAATAAGTCATCTTATATATAATAAGTCAATTTAATCATCAATATTTTAGTCATTTTTAAAGGTAGAAAGAAAAATAAGAATACCGTTGAATTCGTAATTTTTTATACAATTTTTTGATACCCTTAACAAAATTAGGTGGCCAGACCCATTGAAGGGTTTATGAATATAGGTATTTTTTTATAGGACAGGGTGACAAACGAGCACACAGTCCACCTGATGGTAAGTGGCTTCTGTGAACCATAGACATCCACATCTATCCTCAATAAAGAATCAAAATGCAGATGCGTTGTCGTCCGTGAGGACTAAGGTGGAATACCTCTTTTCCAGTAAAAAGGGTCTCTGGGGTAAGGTATTCTATTTTCTATTTCATGGCATAATCTACATCACTTGCAAATTACAAATAAACTCAGCTTCGCAGACTTTTAACCTTCTGCTGTAAGTCTTTTTGGAACTGAGGCATGCGCCGGCCGCCCGTCAGCCGTAGCGTCGGCAAACAAATCGCTCTCAATTTGACGCAGATTTTTGCTCTTGCTAAGAATAATTATTTCCTTCGCTATTTTTCTGATAATGGTAAAGTTTTGAAAGAAAAGTTAGTTTATTCATTTATAAAATGTATTTAAAAGATAATGCCGTTAATTAAATGACCAAATTAATATCATCAACTTAATGATATACAATAAATACAAACATTTTTGTGCATTTTCGTAGGGAGTAAAAATGAGTGAATATACAAATAAATAACATAGTGTTACGCCTGTATTCACCGAAGAGGTAGACATAGTTCAAAGAGCAGCAAGCTAGTTGGAACCCATTTAGCCAAAAAAAATAGGGGTATAAATGGAAAATTGTTCCAGAAATGGTATTGGCTAGCACATTGCCTACACAATCACAAACCCATTTTTTTTAAATAGAATTGTTGATAAACGAGCACACAGTCCACCTGATAGTAAGTGGATGTTGTAGCCCATAGACATCTACATCTATCCTTAATAAAGAATCAAAATGTAGATGCGTGGTCACCCCTGAGGACTTACATGGAATGCCTCTTTTCCAATTTCTTATTAGGTGCCTATTACGAGATGCTAGACAAGTAACAAGAATGGCACATTTGTATTATAACCCTTACATAAACATGGGATATAATATGCCCTAAAAACTTGGGACAAATGAATAAATGTTAAATATTTAGAACGTCTTAGCTAACCCTACCTCGCTCTAGAACTGTTATTTTGAATTTTCATAAAGCCGTTATCACACGTAAACTAGAATAAAAGCAGACAACCGACGCGCAGTTTGTGAATCAAACGGGCTTTATTTTACAACTGCCAAAGTATGCAACTGCAACATTGCCGAATGTATGAAATACATACAGCCTACAAAGTAAAGTAAGTAATTCAATTAATGTTCTTACTTGCAAAATTGTAATTCTTTGAGTTGTTTTTTGGCACTGGTTTTCTCCTTTTTCGCTCGCGGCACCAAAGGCAGATTCTCTGAATTGACGTCCTCTACTGTAACAAATAAATAATGTTACGTCAATCAAAGGAATATAATTATGTTTTTGTCATTTTTATGGGAAAATAAATAAAAAATGAAGACGTTCATTTTCCGCACACAACAATGAGTTCAGACTCAAAACTAATATGCATTGCTATTGAATACACATCTCAACTGCTACTTCAAAATCGCAGTCCGTTCGGGTCGCTTTACACAACTACACTACATACAATCACATTTTGGTCCCCTTCGCTCGTCAGTTTTAACATCAACATTTTTTTGTTTTACATGTCCCATACACACAATATTCACATTGCATACCACATATGCGCACGTCTAATTCTGGATAAAGAATGGCATTTTCTACACCAAATCGATCATCTATTTATAACTAATAAAATGTATGATTATGATTTTTATAACTTTTTTTTAAATTAATGAATTTATTCATAATAATAAAACTTCCTCCCTACAATGGCGGAGCCCATTTGTTTAACAGTGGACTTTTCTGGGCTGATGATGAAGAAAAAAATTTATCGAGAGTAAACCTGACTCAAATCTAGTTTTTCTGCTTCGCGAACTGAAAGGCTTGACGTATTTAATAGTTTATTTTTTATTGATTTTTGTATTGGTTATTTATAATTTATTTAGCAGGAAACAAGGTGTGTATTAAAACAAATAAATATGTTTTATGTAGATATTTTAGTGTATCGTGTAGACCCATATAGGTAGGACACCCAGCTTAAAGACCACACTTAAACAGATTGGACGAATATTAAGCAAATTTAACCACTTATTAGTGCTATTTATAATGATTTCACTTCAAGTGGTCATAATAGCTTATTAGATAATTATTAAGATAAAAACCTCCGATACTGACCGTCCATGTGATCCGATTCATCGTGTTGCAAAGCTCCGTTTCCGCCAAATTGCAACGCGCGTCGTTTCTCAGGCGGCGGGCCGTCTTCCGTTAATTCACCGACTGTTGGTATATACATCTCTTGTTTTATATAACAGGTAAACATAAATTTTAGATGAAGTGCAGTATGATGTGGCGCTGTAGAGTACGATTTATGATCAGAAAACATCATCACTTTAGCAATGTCTCTGAATTAGCAGCATTATACTGCTGTGTTTTGTGTGGTGAGTGCAGGGAACCAGAGACCGTTTTTCCTGGAAACTTAACTTAACTTTAACTCTAAGGGGTCGTCATTTAGATTCTTCATCATCATCATTACAGCCTTTCACAAGTCCACTGTTGAACATAGGCCTCCCCCAAGGAATGCCACAAAGCACGGACCTGAGCCACCTACATCCATCGACTTCCTGCATGTCTTACCAGGTCGTGTGTCTAGTGGGGGACGCCCTACACTTCGTCCGCAGGTACGCGGCCGCCACTCGAGAACCTTTTTTCCCCATCGGTTGTCGGTTCTTCGAGCTATATGGCTGGCCCATTGCCACTTCAGCTTACTAATCCGTTGGGCTATGTCTCTCTGGTTCTACTGCGGATATCCTCATTTCTAAGTTTATCACGCAGAGAAACCCCGAGCATAGCCCTCCATAGCTCGCTGAGCGACCTTGAGCTTCCTCATACGGCCAGCAGTGAAGGACCACGTCTCAGATCCGTAAGTCATCACTGGCAACACGCACTGGTTGTAAAATTTTGTTTTAAGGTTTTGAGGTATGTCTAACGAGAAGATGATGTGTCGTAGTTTCCCGAACGCTGCCCAGCCGAGTTGAATCCGTCGATTGACCTCTCGGTCGAAGTGGCCATGTAGTGGCGGTTAAGAATATCCACTACCCCATATCTTCCCGTGGGTGTCGTAAAAGGCGAAAAAGGGAAACGGGCAAGAGATGGGCAGCAGCATCTTCCTGATATCAGCAAAATTACAATAAAAAAACTGCGGTTGCCAACCCGCTCGCCAAGTGTGGCAACTATTACAAATACCCCCTATGATTTAGATCCTTAATCGAGGATAAATGTAAGATGTCTATGGATAACTGCATCCACTAACCATCAGTTTAACTGTGTGCTCGAATGTCACCCTTATATATAAAAAATTAAATGAAGTAAGTGCATTGAAGTCGTGCGACCAAGTGAACAGAGTGTTGGCGTAGTAAAGTATGTAGACGGTGGCTGCTGAATATAGTTAGCTGACCAGGGTGGTGGTTGAGGCCGTTCTCCGGCTCGGCGAGCGGCTCGTCGCGCTCGTCGTGCTTCTCGGGCGTGTGCAGCGCGCTCGCCGCGCACTCCTCCGCCGTCGTCGACGTCGACGCCTGCGATGCCGCCGGGCTGGGAACAATCAAATTATTATTTATAATGCATATGTGTATGTTGCATCACCGTTTGATAACTCGTGTTTGATCGCAATTATGAGGATTTACTTAACCCTTAAATGCATCTTGTATCGATATTGATACATTACATTCTAATCGTTTTTATCGGTTTTTTATTTGAAGTACAGCATAGGCTGAATGTTTACACGTTTCTTTGCCTTATTGCCCACAAACAAACAAAAATGTCATGTGTCAATGTTATTTCTGAAGGATGATTTTCTTGTCTGTGCTAAGGACATCAACGAGGTGCGCATAATCATAAGACTGAGTTTTTCATCTAGCGGCGAAAACGAAAATAAGTCGAATTTTTACCAATAAAAACCACAAAATGGATGGTAAGTCCTTCATTTACTTGAAAACATTTGAAATTGCACGACTTTCATGTGTTTACGTGAGCAAATATCGCATTTTATGTTTGTATCGAAAACGATACAGCATGCATTTGATTCCCGCCTAAACCCAATTCAATTGTTTGTTCATAACGGTTTTGCTTATGATTTTGCTTGCTTTTAGATACACAAAACTATACTTTTACGTTGTTAATATATAGATGAATGCATATTTTTGCTTTTCAGAGCAACAAATAGAGGATATGCTCAGGAGATTGGAGAATGGTGACATTTCGGAAGATGATTTAGAGTCAGATGGAGAAGATATTCCTTATAACCCATATCTAGGAGCCTTAGCAGCTGAATTAGAGGACGATGAAGACGTTCTTACGGGACAGGACAATTCAGAAGATTTTCTGGACCAACCATTGATTCAGGATGAGCAGCTTGTGCAAGGCGCACAGTCGTTGGAGCGAGTGGAAGCACAACCGACTGAATCTCTCATGAATTTGAGGAATTTACTGTGGAGAAAACAGTCTTTTCTATTTGATGAGAATAACATCAAATTTGGTGGGTCTGAAGAGTTACCTTCATCTTTAATGGAACTGCAAAGTCCGTATCAGTTTTTTACCTACTTTTTCACGAATCCGTTTATGGAAAACATTGTTACTGAATCAGCACGCTATGCTGTCCAGAAACAACCTGACAGACCTGAAATATTCACAGTGGGTGAACTTCGCAAATATTTTGGTATTTTAATATTTATGTCTGTTTACCATTATCCGAGCACAAGGTCGTATTGGTCTAATAAATTTGGCTTCAGTCCCATCAAAGAGGCAATGCCAATAAATAAATTTGAGAAAATGCGAAAGTTACTGCACTTCAATAATAATGATGATCATCTGCCAGTAGACCACGTGCAGCATGACAGGCTTCATAAGTTACGTCCTATAATCACCCATTTAAATGAAAAGTTCTCTAGCGTGACCATCGAGCAGCGATTATCTATAGATGAACAGATGTGCGCCACCAAAGTGGGACATTTTCTCAAACAATATCTCCCCAACAAACCCCAGAAATGGGGTTTTAAATTGTTTGTTTTATGCAATTTGAGCGGTTTTGCTTATAGATTCATAATCTACTCTGGGAAAGAAGCTAATGAAGGATCCTCAAACAGTCAAAACCTGGGAGTTGTAGGACAAACAGTTATGAATTTGCTGAGTGTGGTACCCAGGCAAAGAAATCATATTGTCTATTTTGACAATTACTACACATCTTTGCCATTGATGTGTATACTTGCTAAGCAAGGTATACATTCCCTAGGCACTATTCAAAGAAACCGACTGGGAAAAACTTGCAAGTTGCCAACTAAGCAGGATGTTATGAAAAGTTCAATTCCAAGAGGGTCTTATGAAGAGTATGTTACAAATTTTGAAGGCATTGACATGACAACAGTAAGTTGGAAGGACAATAAGCAAGTTGTGTTAGCGTCGACATACGTTGGAGCATGTCCCGTAGGGAATATCGAACGATTCGATAAAAAAGAAAAAAAGAGGATTCTTATCACGTGCCCAAAGCTAATCAGGGAATATAACATGCACATGGGTGGTGTAGACCTCATGGATTCCTTTTTAGGAAGAAATAGGATTCGAATGAAGAGCAGAAAGTGGTACATGAGAATCTTCTATCACCTGCTTGATTTAACAGTAATAAATTCGTGGGTGTTATATAAAAAAGTTGAAGAAAAAAAAGGAAACCACAAAAAAATCATGACCCTTGCAGACTTTCGATCAGAGTTGGCAGAAACTCTTTGCAAATATAGTCCCGCTAACAACAGAGGGCGCCCAAGCACCAGTGCAATTAGGGAAGATCAACCTCCACTTAAAATGCGAAAAGGGAAACCTTGCCAAGTTTTGCCACCCCTTGAAGTTAGATTCGACCAAATGGATCATAACATCATGAGAACAGAAACACGTGGTCGATGTATGATGCCATCATGTAATTTATTAAGTATAATTAAATGTTCTAAGTGCAATGTTCACTTATGTAGTAAGAAATCCAAAGATTGTTTCACCCATTTTCACAATTCTTCAACTTTGTAAAATCATGATTATTTTGCAAAGCTAATGCATACTGTATCGAAAACGATACAAAAATATTTTTATAAAAAAATAAATGTTCCCGTTAATATAGATTTTTTATTTTATTTTATTCAGTAAATGTTACGCCTTTATGAGACAAAATAATTTTTTTTGGGTAGAAATCTTTTATTATGCATTTAAGGGTTAAGGTTTTGTGAATATTTACCAGCGTAAGTCTCATGCGTTTTCAGACTAATGAAAGCCTATTGTAATATAGCCCTGTGTGTGTTATTTATGGTAAAATATATAAATAAATAGGTGTGAGTATATAATAGACGAATACTAACCTTGGAACCATACTCTGGTCAAGGTCGATGCTGTTGTCCTTATGTTTGCTTTCTCGCTTCTTTGTATTTCGCGGTTTCTTTGGAGGTGCACGTGAAATACACTGCGAGCAGTACCATTTGCCACGCGGGTTCTGTTTAAAAGAGGATACATTTTACAATTTAGAAAATTTTAAGAAGAAACTTATCACCTTATGAGCAGTTTCTTTGACCAACGTATAGTCAAATTCGTGCGACAAAACGTTGGAATCTTAATTTTTAGGCCCTAGCAGAACATACCTTCGCCCTTAAGGTGTGCAATAAATTTCATTGTATGTGAGCAACCCGAATTCATTAGCAAGTAATGTACATTGAACTTATGTTTTATGTATTGAGCTTAGACCAAACACTGACTACTAAAATAAATTCTCATCAAAACTAGAAAAGCCCATATCCAGCAGTGGACTTTGACAATAACCTGGAACAAGTGTGACGTTACTGTCATTACTTCTTCACTAGTATCCGATGTGTGCGGGTATTAATTCCTGTATAATTTTTTTCACGCATAACGAGGGCTTAATAATCTTATACTCGCCATACGTCGCTAGTTGAGACTAAGATGAACTTATTTGTTACGCAGTTGGTCATACAGTGTTATTCACGGAACAAAGACAAAGACGAGATGGCCTAAGCAACTGTGCACTGCGATTCAAACTAGGTCCTGACGTCATCACAGTGGGCGTGGCTTTAGTGCTTATGTGTCGAAAATTGCAAATCGGTGTATTTCCGTAGTATTAAGAAGAAAAGGATGAAGTGTTGTGTTTTATCGTGTAAAAACTAATACTCAGATAGACGCTCTGATGCTATGGATGTCATCACATTTCATTTGTAAGTAATTTTATACCTAATTTATTAAAAAGGTTCTAGAAAAATCTCTGCGGCGGCTTTCAAATGTAATTAAATATATTCAACACTAGATGGTGACACTTTCTGTCATGGGAACTAAAAATATAAAGGTACGTAGAGCTCAGTATTAGTAAAATAATCATACGAAGGTGCTGTTTGTTTTGCACTCAGTCCTAAAGAATTTTTATCAGCCAAAATATTATTTTTATAGTTTATATAATCATTTTGTGAACAGGCCGCCATCTATCGTCAAGGTAGCTAAAAACTACATTACAACATTGATATGGAACGATGCGAGTAGTTTTACTATTTATGGGTAGATGGAAAATAGTTATGTGGAAGGGGCTTAACACTCCCTCACCCCGCAAATTTTCACGCGGTGTTACATAGTGAAATCTAATTACAAGAAGGTGTTATCATCGTTAAAAAGTTACGAATTAATTATAAGTTTTCCGTTTCTAGTTACGTATATATACAATATAATGAATCAGGGCTGTACTGTTCAATTTTTTTTTACACATTTTAACTACTTTTAGGAATATCCGCTTTACATATTTATAATGTAATTAATATAAAATATTACCAATATTTGAGAAGAAAACATTAATCTCTACAGTTTTCTAACAAATTAATGAAATCTGTCAAATATTTCACCTCGTTCATAAGTGGTGCTGCCTTGGTGACAGAAAAAGTCGTCGATGTCGTCATTGGTAGAAATAATGTAGAGGGAGGATAGGACGGTGAAGTGATCAGCAGATTCGTTTATGGGTGAGTGTGTTAGCGTTATACGTGGTAGAGTCACGTTGCAGCTATATTATGTTTGTAGCCTGAATGGGTCCGCTCGACCGGGGTAGGGCCACTCTCTCACAGAATACCAGTGTAAAATAGCAGCTTAATGCTGCTGGGTTTCGTATGGTGAGTGTGGAGAACTGGAGACTCTTTTTACTACTGGAAACAAGGCATTCCATTTTAGTCCTCGGGGACGACAATGCATCTGAATTTTGATTCTTAATATATAATAGTAGTAGACGTGTGGGGCCACAGCATCTACTTATCATCAGGTGGTATGTGTTCGTTTGTCAGCGTTATTGTATAAAACAAGGTAGTGAGGCGATGAGGTGATGAGGTGATGAGGTGATGGGAACCTTGGTGAGCGGCGGGTAGTGGCAGTCCTGGTGGTAGGCGCGCACGCACAGCGCGCACGGGATGGTGCGGCCGGCCGCCGCGCCGCCGCACACGATGCACACGCGCTCGCCGCGCGCCTTGTTCACGCACTCCCAGCAGTACCTGCAACATAAAACAAAATAACGGACCATTACATACTTTTTAACATATTTCATATAACCAGGCGTTACTTTGAGGAAATCCATTATATTAAAAACTAACTGTTCCCCGCGACTTCATCCGCGTGGAGAAGGGCAGCAGTATCTATTTATTAACTAAAAAATTAAAAAAATGCGGTTGCCAGCCCGCCTGCTAAGCGTGGCAACTATGGCAAGTAACCCCCTTGAAACTATTTATCAGCGAGGCCTATGTTCAGCAGTGGACTTTTAGTAATAATAACGGTAATTACCAAAAACTAAAGCTCGCCAGGCACTAAAAAGGATGAAAACAAAACGAAACGACAACAAAAAAAAAAACAATTTACGGTTCATTCAAATTCTAGCGATTGCATGTGCGCCGTTTCATGCTAGATGTATAGATCTTGTACGTGGTAGAGCCATGCTGCAGCTATATTTCTGGTATAGTTGTAACACGAATGGGTCGGCTCGACCGGAGAAGGACCACGCTCTCACAGAATACCAGCGTAAAATAGCAGCTTAATGCTGCTGTGTTTCATATGATGAGTGTAGAGAACCAGCGACCCTTTTTACTGGAAACGAGGCATTCCATCTTAGTCCTCACGGGTGACAACGCATCTGCATTTTGATTCGTAATCGAGGATAAATGTAGATGTCTATGGGCCACAGCAACCACTTACCATCAGGTGGACTGTGTGCTCGTTTGCCACCCTTATCCTATAAAAAAATATAGATCGGTTAAGTCCATAACAAGTCTGTTTCGTAAGTATGAGATTATTAGTTGTACGGCGGGCGTTTTTCTCCTCTATAACCCTATTATCCCGATCAGTCCTGCAATGGGACATTGTTATTAGATACTCACCAATCGCCTTCAGGAATCTTCTCCATGCGAGGCTTGAAACAATAGGTATGATAACCCTTGTCACAACCATCGCAAAGCAATAACTGGTCTTCGTTGTCTCCAGACAAGCAAAACTGGCAATTCTGTAAGGGAAACAAGGGGTTTTAAAACAACGTGTTTCGAATCCGAATAACTTATAATTGCACTAATTATTATAACGTTATGGTCCTTCGAGCCAGATATAAAATACTTACGGCTTTCATGATGCTCTTGTCCCAGGCAATAGCTGCCTCCAAGGCCTGCAGTAACATGGCGAGCTGTGCTGACGTATTGCAGCGAGCAACAGCCTCGCGCCATGTCGCCAACCCTCGGGCTATACCCTTGTTGTCTGTTCAATAGAAATTTCATTTTTTATTGATGATCATCATAACCATGGCAAATCTACTGCTGCCATCGGTCAAACCCTTTCCCATCGGCTGCCACAAAAACTATCAATATTTAAATATATCTCATTTTGTTATAACTATACATTCTTTACTACCATATTTTTGATACGTTTAGCATGTTGCATTTCATGAAATAAATATGTTTCCATAATGTTTTTTTTTTATTTAATCACATACTTAACATTGAATAGAAACATTTTTTTCGTATTTATTTATATTTAAGACTTCTAGACTTGTAAGGTAGTTCAGTGTGAATAAGACCAAAAATTATTATTTGAAAGCTGAAGGGGCCTGGGTTAACTATGACGTCAGACGTCAAAAACTTAGTTCCCGCGTGACGACTATACGTACTGTAAAGCACCAGAAACGTCTGTTTAAAAAAATAAAGCGCGATGAAACGGGTACAATAATATAAAATTTTGATGGTATTCTTGTAAAACGGAAAATGTTCTCCAACAGTATCATATTTTATACCAAAAACACGGCGAGCATAATATTTCAGTTTTCAGTTAATAAAACAATTAAAATTAAGGACTAAATATTTATAGAAACATTTAATACAATATTTCTAAAAGGGTATTTGGAGCAGAAAGGAGTCCGCCACCCTTCCTCAATAAATGCCAGACTTTTACACATTTCCTCGAAATATATCTCAGCTTACAATTGTAAGCTGAGATATACGCAACCTGGTCACACATGAAATAAGTGTTTGTGTTAAATATTGCCTAGAACGCGAGCAAACAAAGTTCAATCCTCACTAGTTGACTACACACAAATTGTTATATTTTAAGAGTAAATTAAAATATAAATGATCTCCAATTTTGTTTAATGTTTGAATTAGTTTTCTTGAGTTTTTTTTTTTTGTTTTTTGTAAAGCTGTTGTGAATTAGGTCTTACTGACACATGATACTAATTATTTCCCTTACCTTTCCCTTCATTCGCTTCGGAATTTTGTGGTGATGTAGCCGAAGCATTGCCATGTTCTCCTTGCAACACCGCTCCTAAAGCGGCCTCTGTGGTGCTGCAGCAAAAATATAATGTTAATGAACTAGTATAATAATTACTACTCAACAGATAACAGTACAAAGTCAGAAATAATTTTGACATCGTTAATAAAATCTTATTCTTTATCAGCCAGTTTATAACTGAACATAGGCCTGTCCTATTGTACTCGTATGAAGAATTTGTCTAAATCGCCACGCCTAGCTATCCGTATGATTAGCAATCGCAGTACCATTTGTCATTTACAAACTGGTTACACGATCACAAATCTGAGACTATTGGGTCGTCATCATCATAATTACGGCTTATCTAAGTCCACTGTTGAACCAAGGCTTCACCCACAGATTGCGTCTCATAGGGGTGATATTTGCTATTGTCGGGAGGACCATTGGGTCTTTCTGGTATTTTTCGTAGTCACCTCTTACGACACCAAGTAATAAATAAGGTTATTGAATCCCTTACACCACTAAAACACAGCATAATAAGTACTACTTGCCACAAAACAAAACAAGTTTTTAGGTTATTATGACGAGAGTGTGCCTGTGTTCGCGTAGTTGTCGACGTTACTAAAATTAGCAAGGGAAACATCTTTATAATCTTGGAGAGCAATGCCAAAACTTCATTTCTTTAAGCCAACTGTTGCAAAATTTCAAAATCCCAGCTCAATTAAATTTGAATATTATAAAATAAAATATTACAAACTTGAAACATATCAATTTACTGTCACAGTCAGTTTTCATATATATAATTAATTTTTTTTAGAATAGTCATGCATTACTAACGCGGAATATGCGAGCATATTCCAATAATTCAAATTACGAACTGAACTAATACTTTGTCTTCAAACACTTTTCAATAAAACACTCAACACGCAATAATTTCAACCTCCACCGCCAATTAATAATAAAATAGAAGTTTTAAAACTAAAACAAAAATTTTAATGAAGTTCAGAGTTTCACAGCATCCAAATAAAGACAAAGGGTGTTTTACACTAAGGATAACTGATAAGGTGGTCCTCCGAGCCGGATAACCATTTTAATGCTAATACAAACTGAATGTTTATTTAGTATAACCACTGTTAATGCTAAATAACTGTGTGAATATAATAAAAATAATAGAACAAACCTTATAAGTGCATAATAACAACGCCTCACGTGCATTTCTGTGCATAAAACTATTCTTAACCAACCCAGATAATATTCCCTGCAAACAAACGCTAATTGGGGCCTTTTTTCTTACCTTAAAATAAATCTATTTACCACACACTATCCCCATAAATTAAAGCCTCACCACACGACAAACTAGCAGCCTGAGTAAGTGAGTCACATTACCTAGCATACCTTTGTACCAAAGGCGGTTTGAGGTATCTCCTCTCAATGTGTGCCTCGACTGAAGCCAACTTGTGCCGTGCTCGGGCTACTATTTCAGCTCCAGTAGCTTCTTCAGGGAGAGGCAGACGTGATGGTCGCCATCCTTTCACTTGCATTGACGCTGCTGCTACTCTCTCTTCTAGCGCTTCAACCTGAACGCAAAACAAGATACTGTAGTGTTTATTAATTAATTAATTTCATTCCAAAGAGCAAGTAACTAAATTTTGACATTTCGATCTATATCAGTAGCTCTATTTAATTTATCTTATATATCCAATCCAGATAAGCTGTTTATTTTGTAAGATGTATAATTCGTTTCAGCGGTAATTTATGCGTTCATAAATTTAAAGCAAAGAACGCTTTTAATCAATCAAGGTTTTTTTTGCGTTACTAGAGGTAGCGCAAAAAACTATTTTAGTTCTAGTTTAAGATAAGTTTTTACCATAGCTAATAGCTGCATATCAACGCGACGTGCTGTAGTAGCACAGAAGGAGTTCGGCGAATCAGGTGGAGGAAAGTCTTGATCTGGTTTTTCGCCAGTTGATGGAGTGGCCTCCATATTCATTGCGTCGGTTTTCTCAATATGTGCCTGTAAATATCGAAAGAGTTTTAATGTAGAATAATTTTTTGTTTAAAAATTATAATAAAACTAATGGATAATCAAGCTGTCTAAGAAATTAAATGATATGATATGATGATATTTTTGTAATTCATATATAATGATATCATATGAATTACAAAAACCTTGAAATATTTATAGACATAATCTGAATTCGCACTAATTATGTTGCTTTCCATGCTCCATTTGTGATTTGGGTCCCGTTTTTGTATGGGCGCACCAACCTTGTATCGTCGCCATGTATCGTGTAGGGGAGTTTTTCATTGGAGAAATTGTTATATCCCCTATATACCACTAATTGTCTATAAAAAATTCATCCTTATATCTTTGCCCATACAAAACATAATTTAAATTAAACATTTTATAATTTTCGTTTTTAAAGCATTATTTAATATTCCTTTTTAAACATATCTACCCTAGGTAAGGCGCTTTTTCTACTTATGATTAGGACTTCCGCCTGCATTGTTGACACACTTATCTATTTCTTGTGGCAGGCAATAGAGCCACTATAATTACCGACACTAAGGCATTCCATCTTAGGCATTCTTTGTAAAACCGGCCAACTGCGTGTCGGACTTGCGCATGAAGTTTCGTACCATCGTACAAGATTTAATACTAGGTATATGTGTAGCGAAAAACACGCTAATAGTAGGTAGTAGTTTATTTTTATTATTTGTTGTTATAGCGGCAGCAAAAATACACATTCTGTCAAAATTTTAATTGTTTGCCTATTATGGATCACGATAGACAGACGCTCGTAAATAACGCAATGAGTATAAAGTGACTACAATTTTAATGTTAATAAAATGGTATGGTTTTGCGTACTAAATGTTGCATATGGAAACTATTTGTGGAAACGATGAAACAAGTGCTGTGATGATGTGAACCTTAAGGAATTGTGTTAGCTAAGGCGCCTTCAGATACTATTTCAAGCTCAAGCTGCTGCTTTCCGGTTCAAGCTGCTCTCAAAATCTTCGCAATGTGACGCATCAACATATTGTGAATAATTTTTTAATGATTTCTTATATTTACGCGAACACTACACATTTAAATAAAACTAATTTTACGGAATTTATCGCGTATATTAACTTATTTTATATTCCCGACGTTTGGATGGATGTCTAGCTCTCCTCGGGAAGTTCAACATTAGTTGTGAAATTGATTGTTTCGGGTGCTTTCCAGCACCCGTGGTCACAGGGGACTGAGGTGTTTGACGTCCTGATGTCATAGTTAGCCCGGCTACCTTCAGTTTTTTAATATTAATTTTTGGTTCGATTCACACAGAATGAGCTTACAGTATCTTGAAGTCTAGCAGTTGTATACTTGGGTTTGGATTTAATTTTATTAATTATGGGATCCCAAGCAGATGGCAGCACCCATCCATCTTCTCTATTGAAATTAGGATGTTTTTTTTAATTTCAATAGTCTCGCGAATCATCCTTGGTAGGAATCGGTGTTCTTTTGCGAGGATTTGTGGTCTATCAAGTCTAATGTAATGACGGGGTCGGTCTTGAACATGTTCACAGACTGCAGACTTCCCACAGCATCGGTGCTTCATGTCAGCTATATGTTCTTTAACGCGGGTTTTTATAGATCTTTTTGTTTGTCCTATGTACGAGAGACCACATTCACAATCCAGCTTGTACACTCCTGCATCTTGTAGAGGGATATGACTATATAGCTATATACTATACTAGACTATATAGCCGGGCTAACTATGACATCAGGACGTCAAACACCTCAGACCCCCGTGACCACGGGTGCTGGAAAGCACCCGAAACGTCGGGAATATAAAATAAGTTAATATACGCGATAAAATCCGTAAAATTAGTTTTATGTAAATAATTTTTTATATAAATTATTATAACAAATAATGTTATATTACTTTTTTTTCATTACAGCTCTTTACAAGTCTACTGCTGTACATAGGCCGACCCAAAGGAATGCCACAAAGCACGGTCCTGAGTCACCTGCATCCATCGACTTCCCGCATGTCTTACCAGGTCGTCACTCTATCTAGTGGGGGTCGCGCTACACACTTCGCCTACCGGTACGAGGCTACCACTCGACAACCTTTTTTCATATTACTTGACACTGGCAAAAGTACAGCCGTATGTAATGGAGTCACCATTACTAAAGGAATAAGAAAGGGTGTTGCATACGCTGTCGGTGAAGGTGGGCGGGTGGTGCGTGAGCGCGGCGTGCAGCTCGCGCTCGCGCACGCCGCGCGGGTGCAGCGCGCGCAGCACGCCGCCCAGCTCGCCCGCCGCCACGCGCCACCACCCGTGCCTGCAGCCCACACCACACATGCACAACACCATCCATATATATATATGTACTACGCACTATATTTCGCATTCCAAACATAGATTAAACTAAATATTGCCTAAATTAAAGATTTGTGAATTTCATAAGATAATTATTATTACATTTTATTTAAAAAAATGTTTGTTTAGATTAAAATATTTATATATATTTTATATTAAATTCTTATACATATTTCATAATAGTATTCTATATTAAATTCTTATATTTATTTTTATATTAAATTAGTTTTCGCGCATGCGTGACTCTACTACTCCCGCGCATGCGCGAAAGCATAGAGTAGCGCATAATTTTTGTTTGAAATAGCTTCTCTAGTATGTAGTACATATCACTCAATGCCCAACACCTTACATTTTACACATTTATTCATTCTATAGCCGCTAGCTCAGGGACTAACGGTTCATTTACACGTATAAACTAATCAACTGAATTTAAATTTACATTTTAAGTAACTTAAAACGGCAATAAGAATAAGTATACACTAAAAATTATAAACAAAAGTTACCGTTACCGTTACAGCCTACTAATGTTCACTGCTCAACATAGACCTCCCCATAAATTGCCTCAATCAGGGTAAATTTATCCTAGTTGCCACGCTTTTTTAGTAAGCACGTAGTTTTTTTTTATTTTTAGTCATTATAAGGGAGACGCTCCTACCCATCTCCTGGTTTATTTCCCTCTGTCGTTTCTTACGACCAGCCACGGGACGATATGAGATAGTGGATATTCTTACATCACTACTACTCGGTAAAAAGAACTTATCGGAATAAAAATACGCTAAATACGTATAAACATATTATATTTACATCATATTAAAAATCAATCAATATAATCATCATCATCATCATTACAGGTTTTCATAAGTCCACTGCTGAACATAGGCCTCCTCCAAATTTTGCCACAAAGCACGGTCCTGAGCCACCTGCATCCATCGACTGCCTGTGTATCTTACCAGGTCGTCACTCCATCTAGTAGGAGGTCACCCATCACATCGCCAGCCGGTACGAGGCTGCCACTCGAGAACCTTTTTTCCCCATCGGTTGTCGGTTCTTCGAGCTATATGGCCGCCCCATTGCCACTTCAGCTTACTAATCCGTTAGTCTATGTCGGTCACTCTGGTTCTACTGCGGATATCCTCATTCCTAAGTTTATCACGCAGAGAAAACCCGTGCATAGCCCTCTCCATAGCTCGCTGAGCGACCTTGAGCTTCCTCATACGGCCAGGAGTAAAGGACCACGTCTCAGTTCCATAAGTCATCACTGGCAACACGCACTAGTTGTCTTGTTGTAAAGTTTTGAGGTAAACCTAACGAGAAGATGTGTCGTAATATCCCAAACGCTGCCCAGTAGAGTTGAATCCGTCGATTGACCTCTCTGTCGAAGTTGGACTTACCTAGTCGGACTATTTGTCCCAGGTAAACATACTCGTCAACAACTACGAGGTTATTGCTCCCAACAACTACCAGCATAAATGTGACATGGACATTACACATGATCTTTATTTTGTTCATGTTCATCTCAAGACCTATCCGTTGGGAGACACTGTTGAGGTCATTAAGCATAGTGCTTTAGGTCCTCCAGCGATTCTGCCATAAGGACTATATCGACGGCAAATCGAAAGTGAGTGATGTACTCGCCATTTATGTTAATACCGTATCCTTTCCAGTCCAATAGCTTGAAAACGTCTTCCAATGCAGCAGTGAAGACTTTCGGGGATATAACGTGTAACCCTGTCTTGCACCTTTCTGCAGTTGGATAGGTTTCGTGCTCTGGGTCTATACTCAGATAGCCAACGTAGCCCTACTGTACAAACACTTCAGCACTTCGATATACTGATAGTCAACTTGGCACCTCTGAAGGGACTGTAGCACCGCCCACTATATATATATATATGATATATGGTACTAAAGCCTTTTCGGAAACCGGTTTGTTCGGGAGGCTGTAAGTCGTCGAGTCTGCGTGCGAGACGATTCGTAATGACTCTCGAAAATAGCACGTAGACGCGACTCAGAAGGGAAATCGGTCGTTACTTCTTCAAGAGAGCGTTGTCGCCTTTCTTGACGAACAAGACCACCGCACTTCTGCTCCACGCTTCCGGAGTAGTCCCACCATGGAGGACGGAATTAATATATTATTATATAATATACATATATAAACCTTAGTTCAAAAATTAAATTATTTGAACAGAAATCTTATTTTTGGACATAAGATAAAATTTCCTTTATCAAAGATCCCTTTTTAACAAAATTACATTTAAGCAGATACATAGCAATTAAAGAAAATCCATCAGCTATTGTGTTTATAACCTTTGTATCTTTAAAACCTCCAATGACCTTTTAGTCAACATTATATGAAGTTTCACAATAAAATGTATAACTATAAGGTATACCTTGGTATAATAAGAAAATACGATAAAAATCTAATATCTTACCTAAGTTCTCTAGGCACGAATCCACCTTCCAATTTCTTGGGCAGTCCATGGACTTTGCAATGTTCCAACTGCTCCATCTCCTCAGGTGACATGTGTATGGGCGGAGGACTGTCGCACGTCACGTACGTAGACAGGGCGTTAAAATTCAAAAGGCCCAGGCTTGTTAAGCCCGAAGCTTTCGCTTTTAAAGCTGCAGCTTCTATCTTTGCAGAATCCGCTTGAAGTTCTTTTTCAAGGTCGTTATCCTAAAACAATTATAATTTATGAAAAAAAAAATCCTTGCACGGAACATAATTTTTGAATGAAATAAAAATCAGTTGTCGTCAATGATTTCGGAACTTCTTGGATTTTATAGCAAGTAAGCGTGACAAATGAGCACATAATTCGTATAATGGTAAGTTGATGATGTGATCCATAAAAACTTACATATATTCTCGATTAAAATTGAAAATGTGTTGTCACTCCTGAGAATGGAAATAGAATGCCTCGTTACCAGTAAAAAGGCTCCCCATATTTCTACTAAACTGTCACACACAATACTAAACCCAGATTATAGTTGAGTTGAGACATTTGCATTTAAACTCAAATTTATTAATTTCCAAATCCAATGGCCATGTAAGCACCGATAATAATTATACTGTTGTGTTACTCGGAACTTAAAAATCTTGTAATATAACAGAAAACTTACTTGTTCTTTGTTGTCTTCTTCCATCTCCTCTTCTTTTTCATTATCATCTCTATTGATACTTGCATCCATCATTTCTTGATCTAGACCAGACATTGTCAAACTGGAGTCTGTGTAAATGTTATTAGTTGGTACTTGAACACTGGTGACCATACTGTTTAGCGTAAACAGACTAGGGTCATTAAGTAAATGCAAATTGTTAGACACATCCCATTTATGACCTTGGCACATAACAACCTCAGAGCATGTGTGCTCATTGTCACAGAAATCTGGTATCTTTTGCTCATGTAATTTTTCGTCATTAATATTTGTCAAATATGAACTCTCATGCCTTAATATTGAGAACCATTTTCCTTCAAGCATTTTCATGTAAAGTTGCGCGTGTGCACTTTCGGCATCCAGGAGCTCCTTTTTCGTTTTGACCTCAGCCTCTTCCTTCAATTTTTCTTCTGCTTTTTTCGCTGCATCTAATTGAGATGAAACAGCTTCCGCCATTTTCCTCAATTCTTCTAGATTGTTGACTAGTTCGTCTTTACTTTCTTCAACTTCTTCTTTTTCTGTCGATTCTGTTTTAACGACGTTTTCTACTTTAACAATCTCTTGAGGCTTATCCATAGGTTCGGCTTGAGTTGCAAACATCGGTTTGTGAGTTGGTTTTTGGACTAGGAAAGCGGTGGGAATGGAGTCTTCAATATCTAACATATCTTCTTCTTCTTTGTTCTGTTTTTGCTGGATATACTTCTCTTCCATTTTTATTGAAGAACCTAATAACACATATTCATTTATGACATGAAACAACAGTTATATTAAAGCTCATTTTAATTACATACAGCTCGGTCAATAGAAAGTGTGAGCGAACTACCTGAGTTGTATTTTAACATGACTTATTTAGGTGGAATCACGGTGAACTGTGCGCTATGATTTCACTTAGGATAAGGCCTTAGGGATGCCTTATTCTAAGTGAAATCATATTCTCTATAAATATATTTGTATATTAACCGATTTGTTGCGGCACCGATTTTCGACAACTTTTAGCTGTGGCGGCGAACAAATATCCGCCACAGAAGTTGATAACACGCCTATCGTGCCATCAGCCATGTGTAAAAATAATTTTCTTTTTTATGCTTTTTCACTTGTTTAGACCTAATTAAGTTTAGATGACATCAAACATCAGTTACAAACGGAAGGATACTTGTTTTTCTACGTGTTTTCTTTGAAATTGAGAGTAAGTGTCTTTTTTATGCAGATATTACAAACATTTTGTACTATTTTTTGTTTTATAAAAAAAATCATTTATATAAGTAGGTACAGCTGAATCACCCTGGAAAACCTTGGTTTTTATTAAATTAAATTTTCACCTAATAATAACATTTGTAAATATAAAACAATCAAGATCCTTAATTTGGAAAAAAAAATAAGGTTTATGATTCATTGATATTTATAAATGTTGAATATTATTTAATGTTATACAAATGTAAAAGTGAAGTCGATCTGAAAACGTCTACTTAGTAGTAATAATAGCCAAATAAGTGTTTTCAAAAGAAAAAAACGCCGGCGCTATACGGCGGCGGATTGACAAAAGACTATTTATTAGCGAACTTTTTTTATGCATGAACGGTTTCGAACAGTTTCAAACAAAAATAAACCTTATACCATATCACAAGAGCACATAGTACTTCGTGGGTCTATTCGGCTATATGATAGTAATAAGACGGCAGTTCAACCGTTTTAAGCAAAATTAAACAATAAGACAAACGCATTGTTATTTTTTAACAGGATACTTGTTTTCCAGAAATTTATGTACAACTTGAGTTTGTGAGCGATCGCAACGAGTGCTACTATTTGTTACTTATTAGACTATTTTTCCACAACATGATTTAAAACCCACAAAGTAAAAAGAGTATACCATGTACAAGTTAAAAAAAGGTTGTCAACCCCTAAAAATTTCAAATTTTCAATATATCCAGAAACGAAGTTGTAGACATGAATTACTTGCAAAATAATGAATATTTTGTTCTGGGTAAATTTTCGAAAAACGCAATTTGAGCGAGTTTCAAATTGCGAAAGATTTAAAAAAAAAGACACGACCCGCGTGTCATAGGCCACACAAAAATAATCCATGGCACGCCTGAACCGGTTAATATATCTTTTTGTATATTCTCCATGATGGTGATCCAACGAACACGCTAAAGGTACATCATAACAACCAGGCCCATATACACCTACAGTAACAGGACGAACATATAGAGTTTTTAAATAGCTTATCAGCTATAATCGGCAAGCTTCGGCTTTGTTAAAAAGGGTGGTATCCATTACAAAAATTCCAGTACTATATCGACTGAGTCGAACCCATATTAACCGACGACAATACCATATAGAAAATAAATGTATAACGAACTTACTGACCTTCAACTTTACAAGTGCCATGTTTCACATTAGGCTCGTACTTAATGATCTGCGTATGGTCACTTAGATTCAATTCAGATTTAATATTACGAAGTTCCAGTTCGCTTTGTAGCGCTTCCTCTTGTCGCTGCGCTTCACTTTCTCCTTCTTGCTTCTCATTGGGTATTTCTTTCTTTTCCTTTGAGCCTGATAGAAATTAAAAATATATACTTTTGATAATGGACACACAACAATAATAATTCATTATTTTAATAGCTTAATAAAATTTTCAAAAATAAATATTAAATATTAAAGTATGTTTTGACTTTTTATTTTTTAAGTGAAGATATTGTGTTATACTATAATACAGCCAGAATATTGTAGGTATCAATATGTATTCATAATTTAAATTGTTTAAAAAATGTTAAAAATTAAATAACAAATTTGTAGATAGGTTTATTACCATTTTCATTTTTAAGATATTGTGTAATAGTGTTTATTTTTTTATAGGAGAGGGGGCAAACGAGCATGCGGCTCAACTGCTGGTAAGTGACTACCGCCGCCCATGAACAACTGCAACACCAGGGGAATTGCAGATGCGTTACTGGCCTTTTAAAAAGGAGTAGGCTCTTTTCTTGAAAGTCCCTAAGTCGTATCGGTCCGGAAAAATCGCTGGTGGTAATCGATTCCACAAGGAAGTTGTGCAAGAAAGAAAACTTCTTCTAAATCGCACAGTGATGGACCGCCAATCATCCAAATAGTATGGATGGTATCGCGAGTTTTGTCGCGATGTGCGATGGTGAAATTGAACGGCTGGAATTAGTCGCAGAGATGCAACATCTCTTCGCAGCGCCAGTGAATCGAACCGATCGGAAAGGACTCGGCCGTCGACGATTCGAGCCGCTCTGCGCTGGATGCGGTCAAATGGAAGGAGCAGGCACTAGGGAGCCCCAGCCCAGAGATGGGAACAGTATTCCATGTGAGGCCGAACCTGCGCCTTGTAAAGTTGCAGGCGGTGCGCCGGCATAAAATACTGTCCCGCTCTGCTGAGCACGACAAGCTTTTTAGAGGTCAATTTGGCCTTTTCTTCCAAATGACCACGAAACTGCACGTCACTCGATATGTCGACGCCGAGGATTCCGACATTTGCTGAGGTAATAAAGTGAGTGTCTGGAAACTTAGGAGATACGACAAAGGGGTTCTTTTTAGCGGTAAACGCGCAAACTTGTATCTTCTGAGGATTAAACTGGACTAGATTTAGTCGCCACCAATCCGAGTCTTTGTTCAGCAAGAACTCGATTTCAGACACAAGTTTTTTCCGATACTCGGCGACGTTTTCCCGAGAAATATTGGCACAGTCGGTGTATAGAGCATCACCAGTGCTGCCATCCGAATAGCAATGAATGTTATCGGTTTGCAACATACCATTGATATGCAGAAGAAACAGCGTTGGTGATAGCACGCAACCTAGTGGAACACCAGCGTTAATAGGCTTGTATTCGCAGCATGCACCGTCTACTACGGCCTTGATGCTCCGATCAGCCAGAAAACTGGTGATCCAATAGCACAATTTCTCGTGAAGCCCATAGGAAGGAAGTTTCGAAAGAAGCGCTCTGTGCCAGACCCGACTGCCTTGCGCCCACTTACATGTAAGGTAAACAAGAAGATCACCAGCTGAGCGACCCCGACGGAAACCGTACTGGTGGTCACTAATCAGCTGGTGCTCATAAAGGTAAGGTAGCTAGCAGTTAATAATGGATTCCATTATTTTCGAGAACAAGGAGGTGATGGCGATAGGCCTGTAGTTGGACGGATCAGAGCGGTTAACTTTTTTAGGGATCGGGTGCATGAAAGCTTTCTTCCATGAATTCGGGACTTAGGTACCGGAAAAGACGCGTTAGAACCGGTGCCAACTCTGGAGCGCACGTCCTCAGCACAATTGACAGGATTCTGTCATGCCCACTCGACTTGTGTGTATCCAGGGAGAGGAGTGCTTTGCGTACTGAGCACTGTGTGAAATGCACATCCGGCATAGAGCACTCACACTGTGGGACGGTCGGCGGTGTTCCCCCGTCATTGAGAGTCGAGTTTGACGCAAAAAGGGAGCCTAAAAGGACGGCTTTGTCTTTTGCGCCGTGGGCCAGTGAGTCGTCCTCCCTGTGCAGAGATGGTAGTGATGGCTTACAGAAATTCGCGTGTACAGCCTTGGCGAGAGACCAGAATGAACGGGTTCCCGAAGGAAGGTGAACTAATATCTCGCCAATTTTGCCAATGTGCTCATACTTTGCCTTGGCAATAACTCTATTGAAGGACCTGGAGGCGAAGTTATACTTCTTTTTTTTACTTATTTTATTTTATTGTACTACAGCTATTGTGCTATTAAAAACATTAATATTATTTACCTTTTTTCTTTCTCTTTGCAGTATCACTTAGAGGCTGCCCTTTCAATGCAGCCGCTTCTAATGCTTCTTGGTAGGCTAAAATCTCAGGTTGGGCTGATTCCATAGCTTCCACGTATACTCCCCCGCTCTTGCCTAGTGACCAGTATCGTCGCCAATACCTAAATAAACAGTCTACTATGAAAACGTTAAAGTTTTCTATTTCTATTAATAGTTTGCTTAAACTATGAATAGAAATAGAAAAGTTGAACTTGAACATTGGTATTGCTCCCTTTACTTGAGAAATATTTCTTAAATTAAATCAACACAAACTATTTCTTTCAGTGTTTCGCACTACTGACGCAGTCTTATTTGTATAATCTGTAATTGCATTACCATTCGGGCAATTACTATGAGTCATATTCATAACTAGAAGAAATTTAAAAAACATTTTTATATTCATTTCAGCAAATATAATTGTTTATTATTACATTAAAACTAGTAAAAAAAAATTGGAGTTAACTAAACAAACACTAATTTGTATTACACGAATTACGAGTAAATAAAACGAAGTAAGTAAACGAAAGGCACACAGCGAAAGAAAGCTTGGAAATGGTTGCCATTAATTCTCAATTAGTGAAACAAACCTGTTTTATATCGTTTCTCGGCCTTTTGGCTAAATTCAAAGTGTAGGGTAAAGTGTAGCGTATTTTTAAACTAAAATAGGTAGCCTTCGCCTCAGATCAACAAAGAAATATAGACAGAGCGCTGCGTACATTTCAAGTGATGCTGAAACCATGCTGAACTACTTGGCACTTACGCACATATTCTTTCTTCTTTCTTTTTTATCAGCCCGTAAAAGTTCATTACTGGACGCACACATATGCGCCTAAAACCATGTTGTTGGTTGCAAATCATTTAAGATGCATGTAAGTGAACGTAAGTGCCTGATCTTACAAAGGTTGAGATTTTTTTGCGTCCCTTGAAATGTGCGCAACGCTCAGTCTTTTTTCCTTTCTTGGTCTGAAGTGAAGGCTGCCTATTTTGTTCAAAAATAAAACATGGTTGTTTCCGTAACTAAGAATTAATGGCAGCCATTTCGAGAAAAATATATTTATGTGTTAAGAAATGTACTTAAATTTAATTGAAAATAAAACATACTAAAAAGGTATTGAAATGTTAGAGTATTCTTTTCATGTTTTCACCCTCATAATAAGAACATTTAAAAGCGTTTATATAATAAATTGTATGTAAATAAACATCCAGACTCAAAAAAAATATTTGAGTGCTGGCATTGACCTGCTATTACTAAAAGCAGGCCAACGGGTGCTGGATTAAATACTTGGCTCACAGCACCACAAGCAAACACTTAGGCACTTTACAATGGATACCTTTACAATATGCATAATCAATGCAGAATTAAAATGGTAATTATAGAAATGACAATCTTACCTGTCCTGTCCATAACATGTCGCTCTGAGTGCGTGCGAGCCGGCTGAAAGCTGCTGCAGCTGTTGTTCTGATTGCCTCAATAATTTCTCCAGTTTACGAGCGAGTTCTTCTGATGAGAGATTTTTGTCTTCGTCCTACGAATATGTTCATAGTTATTTAAGGACAACAGTTTATTCTACTTCATCAACAGCCTTTTTTAGTCTGAATAGGCCTTTCCAAAAATGTCCCTGTTAGCATGCATTACTTGCAAAGATTGAAGACAGTTGAATTAGTAAATGCAGTCTGTAAAATTTAAGTAGTATTTCGTGGACGGATTTTTCCTTATTAGTGGTTTTAATATATGTGCAGTTAGAGTAAAGCTTTTTTACATCTAAAAGCTATTGATCAGCAGTAAAACCAGCTTGCGGGTATGGTAGATATTTAGTCGAAAAATTAATATACTCCGTTTCTCTAGTAATACTTTCAGTGCTTACTAAAAGTGATTTCGTAAAAGTACTGCCAATAAATTAATTTTGAGGGCAATATTTAGAACTTTAAAAGATAGTTAATTATTATTACACATCCAATTAATTAATTACTTTGAACTATATCATTTACGAGTATATACTTTTGCCACCGGTCATCAACAGCAATATGATGTTTATGTGGTCATATATATATTACGATAATCAATAATGTAGTATATATATATAAAGAGCCGTGGTAGCTCAGTGGCTAAGTGCTCGCTGTAAACTTCATAGTACGCGAGAAACCTGGGTTCTATCCCCGCACCAATGAAAATGTTAATTGCAATTTTAAGCGCTGATTTACCACGTGCTCGGCGGTGAAAGAAAACTAAGTCCATGGGATAAAACCTCAAAAATGTTACCTCCTCTGGTTGGGTTCCTTCACTTTCCAAGTCACTCAGCATTGCATCACAATCACCGATCACGCTATCCTTATCAATCTTCGAATTATCTGGCGGTGAACAATCGTCTTTATTGTTGTTTAATATCTCCTTAGTCTTTATACTGTTAGAGAGATCTTTTAATGGCGATAGCTCTTTATCACTTTCTTCAATAGGTGCGTTATCTTTGTATGGGGACGGTAATTCAGATTGTTTATTTGTTTCGTGTTCCAAATGCGGCGACTCGACTTTATCAAGTTTCTTCGGCGTTTCACTCTTGTCGCTAATAGAATGATCTGTAAAATGCAATTTATATTATTGCAATGATCGTATAAACACGTATGAAATGTATAAAACAATAGGTTTGGCAAACAATAAATTGCTATGTAATGTACTCCTATTTTAATAACTAAGTATTCACATAGTTCATTTACAAACTTGTAATGCAAAATTTATTTGCGTTTACGCAAACTATTTTAGAAAAGTTTTAAAAATATTATATAAAAGAATGTACCCTGTACATTGTTTTATATAAGATTATTATAGTTGTATTGTTATACTTATCAGTGTTGATTCCTAGTTCAGTAATCAACACTGATAAGTTCACAAGTTATGTTATTTGTGTTCAATGAAGATTATTATTAATGAGACAGTTTTATTGTCTCAATAATAATGAGGGATGCATAAATACTTATAAAAATATATAAACATTTACTATAAATATTAAAAACGATAGAATAACATAAATACTTAATAAAATAAATGAAATAAAATATAATTAAATAAACATAAATAGACATAACCCAACTTTTTGACTTAGAGGAGACTTTTTATTTTTGTCTAGTTTACTTTGGTATTATTTAATTTATTTAGTAACCTCTTACAACGCTCACAGAAAGAATCTCTTAAGAACCACTCACAAACAATAATAAAATATTTAAAAATCCCTCTTTACCACTTATACAAATGGTACAGAGGGATTTTAAAGCATTTTCGTGCGAAACTGCGATCACGAAAATGCTTTTTTTTTACCAACAGGTATGGCGCCAATGTTAAGCAGTGAACTGTTAACACAGGCATAACAATAAATTGGAAGAAGAAAGAAGATCGGCAAACGAAGTTAGTTACCTTCTTCGGGTAGATGTGGCAACACGGTGTTGATGGCGGTGCTTTCCTCGACGAGGCGCTGCATGCGCTCCAGTGCCAGCGCTTGTTGCTTTTCCGCCTGTTCGGCGCGTACCTTGCGCTGATGCAGAACTCGCACTCTGAAACAACGTTGCTTGTCAGTAATACATGTAAGTCAATATTAAAAACGAATTAATTATTAATTTTGAAGATTAATTAATCCTATGGTAATGCTACAAGTCAAAATGGTGATCACGTAATCCTTAAAGAAGCAGACTTGTGCTAGAGTATTGTATAGTTCTAGAAAACTGATATCTGTTAAGGGTTACAACTTTAACCCTTTGTTGTGCATATAAAAACAACGGTGTAAACCTCTTTGTGAAAGTTCGCACCATATAATAGTTGATATTATTTAATTAAATATTTAATTACTAATTGACAGTGAGAAACATCATTTAGTTGCAGCATTAAAGAATCCACTACCTCATGTCAGCCCGTAGGCTTCGTTAGAAGCAACAGAGGGAAACTCAAACAGGAGATGGGGAGCAGTATCTTACAATGACAAAATCAATAAAAAAAACTGTGGCCAAAGCGCCTGCCAAGCGTGGCAACTTTAGCAAATAGTATAAATGGGATCTATGGGAACGTTTAACAAACAATACTCAACAAATACATTGGAACAGATTTATATTTACTACACAAAGAAAATGTAAATAAAATACAAACTTGCGAATCTTCATGTCCATGAGGTATCGCTCTTTGCGCAGTTGGTTAAGGTGTTCGAGCGAGGCGTCTATCTGACGCAGCACGGCCTTGCTCTGCAGCAGCTCGTCGCACAAGTAAGCCAACATGCGCGCTTTTGTGGTCGGATTTAGAGCGAGGAATGGCTTATCACGAAGCGTTTCTGGGGAAAAAAGTATTATTAATATAGATAGACTATACACTTTTAAAGAAGGAATCTTTTTGTTATAAAGATTTGTTACCAGATAGTTTGTATGTAGAGTTATTATGCAAATGCTCATAGTAGGCGGCATTTTTGGTGTTGGAGCAAGTGTGTTGCATCTCTGCGTCGCTCTGGTGGTGGTCTGCAACTCTGCGCTCTCGTTCTCGCTCCGCTGTGAGACCTGAATAAAAATTATTAGGACGTAAAATTCATCTTCATCAGTACCACTACATCAGTTTTAAAAGACTGACTGACTAAGAGATTCTAATATATTTTAAATGTAAGACAATCCCTGTTGATTTGTATGTATTTGTATGTTGAATCGTATTATTTTTATTAAAATTTCTAAAGTTACTTGACTGAACTAGACAATAATTATCCATATTAGAAAAATAATACAAGGCTCATTGTATGGCATAATTTAGTTACACAACATACTAACATTACATTAATTTAATTGACACGACTTCATAAGCATCTACAATGTATAACTCTGTTATTACTTTGTAGGCACAGGTTATGGTGTGTACAAGATGTTGCTAGTGGAAAACAATTTTGCTGTTGTTTAACCTAAAGAGCGCCTAATAGAAGAATTTATCCAAACGAGGGAGGAACTCTCGTTTGAATAAATTCGTCTGATCCGTGTACATATGAATGAGTTAGTGATTTGTTAATTATTACCTTATTCTATTTTTTTTTGGTCCTATTACTTAATTATTAAATTCATTAAGGATTTCTAAAATGTAATATTTGAGACTGAAAGGAAACCACAATAACGTTATTTGTTTCGTTAAAAATCACAAATCGGCACGTTTGATATAGAACATATTTTAAAATAAAAAAAATACAGCTGCTTTTAAAGCGACCATTTAGACTTAAAACAATAAAAAAAATCAAACTCCATTTTTCTCATTAGATATTTAAAAACTAAAAGAAATACACTTGTCTTCAGTGTGGTCTTTAGACTTAAAACAATCGATATGTTCTAAATTACAGTTTAACTGTCTCTGAATGGTTCTTACAGGCACCTAGGCACTCTAGAGTCCCTATTAATCATTATTAACATCGCAATATAATATAATCCATAAATATAATTTAAAGGTTACAATTATGCACCTTAAACACTCGCTTTTCTCGTCATCTCGACTACTATATTGTGGTTTTTTATGTATGTGCAACAAATCACCAAGTCATTCTAAATTCAACAGAAAAAGCAAAAGAAAAACTTTGATGAAAGAATAAGATTACGTTACTTCTCCACTGCAATACAAACATTTAAAATCATGCGACTAACCAGTAAGCGCCTTGATTTCCCCGGTGGCGTTGGCGTAAAGGTAAATGCGCAGAACCTCGCTGAGGTTGGCGGGCGTGATGTCGCCCATGCGGATAGCTTGCCCCAACAGTGTCGTATGGCGGCCTGGGTGGGGGATACCCGGGTCCTCTGCGAATTTTAGTAAAGGTATAATTTAACCCACTACAAAACCGACAGAAATAGATAATGATATTTATTTTTGAGCTACTCACACAGATTGTTTACAAAGATTTGACCAGTGGTTTTGTATCGACGGCTTTTTAAACATTTTGAATAGTAACAAGAAAGATACTTCTGCTCATACATACATACATACATATAATCACGCCTCTTTCCCGTAGGGGTAGGCAGAGACCACTTCTTTCCACTTGCTACGATCCTTACATACTTCTGCTCATCTCCTGTTTAAATCCTTCTGTCGCCTGTTGCAATGACTTTATATTCGTTTTTGTGTAATATGCTTATGTATAGTCTTTTAATTTCAGCGTATCGTATACTGTTATTCTGTAAAAGCTACATATATTTATTGTATCTATCAAAAGAATATTTAATCATTAATCATTTATGTTTGTGTAATAGTGTAATTATACTATAAAATTACAAAAGGCAAATTGAGCGCTACGGATGTGCCTATCAATAAAAAATTGTGCGCACACACGTACGAAGTGAAACTTCTTTACGACATATGATTCTTCTTTTATTTTATTACTCATGCAGCCCCGGCGGTGAAACGTTACAAGAAACGGACTTTTATTTTTAATGCCGTACTAAATTTCTCCAGTACGACGATAAAGAAGTTTCAGTACAATAAACATAATATTATATCAGGAGACCAGAATCCGCAGAGGATGGAGTGAGTGAAAGCGCGTAATGTCTGAGTCATCGGTAAAGCATGACTGTTGCTTGAGTGTTCGGCGAGGCAGTGGCGGCGGTACGCACCGATGGCGCAGACGAGCAGCTGCGTGAGCACCTGCAGCAGCTCGTCCTCGGCGTCGGCGCTGCACTCCGCCAGCAGCGCACTCTGCAGCGTCTGCAGGCTCGGCAGCGACTCCACGTCTGCGACATATGCGCACTTTATAATAATCACTATTCATCTTCTCATGGTCGATGATATCGGCCATGGCGATATTTATTCGAATAATCGAAAGTTATAATATTTTAATAGTACTTACTAAGTGTACATTACTGTTACAGGGTATCAAAAATCCATTGCTGAATATAGGCCTACCCCATATATTGGTTCATAAAGGGATTTCAAGTGTACGTTTTTACGTGATAGAGCCATGCTGTAGCTATATTAGTAATATAGTTGTAGCACGAATGGGTCGGCTCGACCGGGGAAGGACCACGCTCTCACAGAATACCAGCGTAAAATAGCAGCTTAACGCTGCTGTTTCATTTGGTGAGTGTAGAGAACTGGAGACCCTTTTTACTGCAAACGAGGCTTCCATATTAGTCCTCACGGGTGACAATGCATCTGCATTTTGTTCCGCAAACGAGGATAGATGTCGACGTCTATGGGCCACAGCAACCACTTACCATCAGGTTGACTGTGTGCTCATTTGTCACCCTTATCCTATAAAAAAGAAAAAAACGTACACAGTTACTTTTTCTAGCCTACCCGTTACCAATACAAGGCTTTAAATCGTGATAAAATTGAAGGTAGGTTATTATGAGAGACACATAAAATATCAAAACACAACTAGATCTAAAAGCTGAAACATGTTTTTGCACAAATTTGGACTCCAAATAGAATTCAATCAAAGACGAAATTACCGGGTACTCAAGAGAGGAAAAGCAATTGCTGTATGTACATACATACATCACACATAAAAAGTGACTAAGTGGTCCCTTTATAGGTACTTAGAATTCCTTCTGAGTAGTTATTAACTTCTTGAAAAGTGTTGTGTTCCAAGTGAATCAAAAGCTGAGGCATTTTAAGCCAGTCTTCAGGAGTGCTTATACCATAAGTATAGTTTTTTTTGTTTCAAGTACAATCTAATGAATTGCAAGTTAGTTTTTTTTAGTCTAATGTTCACAAAAATATTTTTATATTCTAACCAATAAAGTAATCCAATTAACATAGTAGCCATTGATAACACATTTGGAATAATTGGTAATAAACGCCTCAAATAGTTTAAGATTCGCATAAATTTATGTTAGTACTTCAGTATCTGATTTATTAAAATAATTTTTTCTTTTATTTCTATTTCTACTTTGATATTTTATTTCAAATATATCTTAAAATTAACCTGACTACAATACTGCAATAAATAACCTACTGACCCAAGTCGTAACGTTAAAGCAGTCAGTGACCGAAAACGTCCGTAGGTAGTTGCAGTGTATGTACACCGAAAAAATTGGTAAACAATGTTTTGGGCCAAATATTTCACAATTTATTCCAAAATAGTGGAGGAAGCCCTTCCTTCAATCATAATTTTCCCTTATCCTGTACATATTTTTGCGAAAGGAGATTTTCTGCTGATGTGGCAATAAAAACCAAGTCCAGAAATAAACTTATTCGTAACATCGATAGTGCTTTGCGTTGTGCGATTTCTGTGGTTAAGCCGTGAATCGGAAACTTCGTTAAAACCATGCAAGCTCATCCATTTACATTCGATTAAATAAGAAGTAATATTTGTATAACTAAGTTGTTTTTGTATGATATTGTGTAACTTTTAACAGAACAACTTTTTTCTAACCTGATAAAACTATCTGAGCAAGGGGGCGCGGATTTTTTTTTTTTTGGTAGAAAGGGTTCGCGTCATAAATAAGTTAGGGAACCACTGCTATAGACAAATAGAGCTCTTGAACATAAGACTTGAGCTTTTCCTGTTGGTAACTTCGTCAAGAGGTTCCTCAAGTCTGTGATTCTAAGAGTCCCACTGACTTTACTATGCCCGTTGGGTATTCTACTAGTGTAGGCAAGGAAGGTAGCCTTGTGTTACATTGAGATGGATAAGTGATGCTGTTGGGTTGCATACTTTGGTGTTATCATGTAATTGGGTCCTGATAGTAAGCAGGGTTTGTTACCGACTAGTGTTATTTTATTTAAATATATTTGAGGATAATTTCTAACATCAGAAGTGGAATAGTATCTTACAATATGTGTTTTAAGAATAATTGATAATATGATAAGGAATGAAAATACACAGTAATAATGTTGAATTTATGAAATACTCACCGAAGCCAAGAGTTTGTCCAAAGTTGTTAATGAACTCGTAAACTTGTAGTAAGTCTGCCATGGCTTGGCCGGGCAGCTTAAGTCCAGGAATCCTATTTAGCGTGGGTAGGGGTTTGTGATCCGATAGCGATGAGTCTTCTTGAGGCCTCCTGTATAAGAATGAATAATATAATGGTATAACAGGAACTACTAAGGAAAGAAATAAAATATATGACGGCGACTGCGCCTGTTGCACATGCGGCGGCGCCTCTGTGGCTGGCCAGAATTCTTGTAAACAACACGTGCACCGCACACTTGCGCGTTGCACCCGTGGCGCCCGTGTACCTAGCTACTTTTGATACTGGCAGAATTCTATCAAGAGAAGCCATAATTTAAAAGAAGAAGAAGAAGAAGAAGCTAGCTACTTGTTTTGCTTGTATAAAACGGATAGACCGGCCACCGTTAAGGGAGTCTTGGCTCTGGCGTGGCACTGGTTGTATTCCGCTATTGTATTGCATCCTTGACACATCGCGCAAACGAATTAATTACTATTCTCAACTATAAAATTAGCTGGGTTACTTGCTGGTTCTTCCCAGGACCAGAGGTTTTATCCGAACCGGTGGCAGTAGTACTATATTAAAATAAAATGATTATATTTCATCCTAAAGGCTTTTCTTTGTGACTCTCTACATTATAATCTCATCCTACATCAATTGTGATTAGGCCTCTTTCCATTTCTTAATGTGCTTTCCACATACACATGTCCTTTAAAAACACATAACGATTTCTAGTTAGTGATTTTACCACTGACGATTGTATCACCAATTATCATGAGTATGATAAAGCAATGGCTTTAATTTATAAAAGAAGCCGAATAACAGTTCCCAGTGTCTATTGCTACGATATCTGCTAACAGATAGGTGTGTGTGTGTGTGTGTGTGTGTGTGTGTGTGTGTGTGTGTGTATGTGTATGTGTGTCGGTGAGCGCGTGCACGTGTACCTGAGCTCGGCGAGCAGCTCCATCTCGCGGCGGCGCTGCTGCAGTTTGCGCTCCTTGGCGAGCAGGCGGTCGAGCAGGTTCTGGTGCTTGCGGCGCTCGCGCTCGGCCCAGCGCCGCCGCGCGTCCAGCTGCCGCACGAACGTCGTGTGCTGCCGCCGTCGCTCACGCTCCTGTGCACACCACCACGCTCATCATAAACTAAGGCTCTTCGCACACGAGTCGTTAGCGTAGTCGTATCGTAAGCGTATCGTTACGACGCAACGCGTACGAGACCTGTAGTGTTCTACAAACGAATCGTCGAGTAGACGCATCGTTTTGTAAGACCTCAGTAAAATCATGGCGTGAACGGTACCAGATGTGATGGGTGAATTTATAGACTATCTTACTTTGTCTTCGGAGGAAAGCATTTTATATTGTTTGATTATGTAAGAAATAAAAATAGTTTTATACGTGGTAGAGCCATGCTGCTGCTATATTATGGTTGTAGCACGAATGGTTCAGCTCGACCGGGGAAGGACCACGCTCTCACAGAATACCAGCTTAAAATAGCAGCTTAACGCTGCTGTTTTATTTGGTGAGTGTAGAGAACTGGAGACCCTTTTTACTGCAAACGAGGCTTCCATCTTAGTCCTCACGGGTGACAATGCATCTGCATTTTGATTCGTAATCGAAGATAGATGTAGATGTCTATGGGCCACAGCAACCACTTACCATCAGGTGGACTGTGTGCTCGTTTGTCACCCTTATCCTATAAAAAAAATAGAAAGCGATATTTATGACGATATTTCTGCACAAGCTTTATCAGCTACATCTTTCCTTGAATATTCACTTAATGAATGATTATATAGACAAGGGAACGCTTTAACCAGTTTTACGAATTCAATCACTTTTTCAGTCCTATTCATACCTATTGTAATTAAAAGTCGTAAGATATTAAAAAAATTTATATTCAATTAAATTTTTAAAGAAATTAATGAACAGTTAATTTTTTACGCTTGGTTTTTTACGCCAGTACACTACGAATATCGTAATGACAATAAACATCTCCTACGATTCGCTGCAGCATCGCTTCGTGTGCGGACTTGTTTGAACATGTACGCTCTCGTCCTACGCGCGTATTACGATACGCTTACGCTTACGATACGACGCCGTGTGCGAAGGGGCTAACTGCTCCATTCCGACTAATGCCTAATTCCTATATTCAATAAACGTTTCATTCTCCGTAACTATCAGTTTTGTTACAAACGAGGTGCATGTAAACACAGTTTATATTACGATTACAACTATTTGTTCAGCAACAGCATTCAGAATGACTTAAAATGAAAAATAATTAAGCGACTCATAAATAATTGAACTGGTATTTTGTTTTAAGAAAGTGATTTTCATATACTACACTTTGGCTGGTGCTACAAAATGCCATCTACCAGCGTTGGATACAGTGGAAAAACGTGGTACGAAGCTTACTGGTACCCTTGATTTGGTTGAAACCAATCTTGTCAGGCTAGAACAAACGCTTAGAGTAGCCTGCCACTCGGTATTCTATAGGATGCATTTCACTGATTCACCGTCGGACAACCAGACGATCGATGGACTTCACCCTTTTGTTGTAGATATTCCACGCAATTGAACTAAACGGTTTGCTTTGTCTTTTGAATTGCGTAAATTAAAGAAGTGGAATAATCTGACGGCGTCTTGTCTTTTCATCCAAAAACAATCAGAGCGTCTTCAAGACAAGATTAAATAGACTTTTGTTATGCTAAGACAATGAGATTTAGTATCTAAGGATTCTTCACCTCTTACCACCTAATGGGATTGCGTTCAAACACTGGCTTATAATAAGTAAAAAAAAAAACTTTATTTACTGCAAAGTGGCTCGTAAAAGAAAACAAAGCGTTTTTAAACATAGATAGATACCCGGCATAAAAGACCATTCGTTTATGTACATAAGGCTGCTTTAAGAAAAATTCATCGCATGCAAATGGTTCGGTTTCAGTAATCTGAAATTATTTTTAAAACCAACAGCCCCAACAGCAACGTACTCAAAAGCAAAGAGGCCGCTCAGCAGCATGTGCATGCTATCCGCATCGTTGTAAATTGATGGTTACTGCGCCTCACCTACATGGGCTCTGAAGACTTAGTGCCATAAGTGATCTGTATCAGTATCTGTTCAAATCCGAAGTAACACATGTGATAAGATCGGTACTAAGAACTCTGGCAGTGTCCAAAATCCACTATTTGACAGCGTCAGCACCTGTTGTAGTGGACGTACTCTGTATAACGACGGATGCGTAGTTGTTACACAAGACCAAGTGATTCTTTGCACAAGACTACTGTGATTATATACTCTTTGCACAAGATTACGTCCACTTAAACCAAATATAACTGCCTCGCTAATACTAAATACAGCTTCGGCACGTCTAGCTATATTCTATGATATAAATTTTACTACGTCTACGTCTGCATATGACCTTATACAAAAGTAGTTGGCACTGTATTTATCTTGTTTTTGTTTTTAAATGCCAACTATTTTTAAACACTCTCGTTTCGCCAACGGTTCTTAAGCAAGCTTTAGAACCGTTGGCGAAAGTTGCTTTAAAAAGCTTACTAAATTACTTCTTGTGTTGCTAATCAAAAACCGAATCTATGCCGATGGAAAAATTGAGGTTTAGCCATTTTAAAAATCTACTCCAACCATCCTGTCTATGTCTAGTATGGTGAAAATGGACAAATCTCTCAACGTATGTATGTAGGTTGACGCATTATAAAAAAACATGATATGTATATCATATGGCAGAGGACGAAAAAGACATTATTAATAAATAAAGAAACATGTGAAAGCAAACAGGATTGGAAAAGATATTACCAAGTTTCTTGTTATAGAAAATAAGACTGCTGTATAAAATTTAAGGGATCACACATTAGAAATAAAATATTAAGTTATCAAGTATTACAAAATACGGCGGAAAAGGTACAACACTATTAGCTCACATTTTACTATTACCTAAACCTTAATAGCAAGTTTTAATCGGCATGCAGACATTCAACATTGTTAGCATTACAAAACACTTTGAAGCTTTGAACCATATTATATGTTAAAATTTCTAAAAGTTAACATTCAAGCAGTTATTTGTCAAAATCCATTAGTCAGCGAGTTCGTTACATGCCTATTATATTCAGTCAATGAAATCTACATAATTATCCCCATACAATACCATTGCAATAAATGAGAAAATTAATTTTGATGTGAATTACCTCAGTTATGTACTTTTGCTGTGATGTGTAGTTGTCGATCCAATCGTGCATTGGAAAAGAAAATATATTGTGAATATAAATGTCAGATGAAATAAGCCAAATATTAATTTTAATTCCAATTGTTATTAAAACACACGTAATAACGTTTAGTTGAGCCGTTAAGAAGATTAGGTCGCATATAATATTTCCAAATATTTTTTTAACTTCAATTAAAAACAATATACATTTAAAAATTATTTGTTGAAGAGTTGCCGAAAGTTGCAGAAAGAGAATTGCCTTGTTGGAAAGTGAAAGAACACTTATTCTTAAAAATTATTTAATAATTTCACTGTCCGATTTCCAGACACAATAGTAAAACAATAGCAATCAATGACCTATATGTAGTATACGGGACAGCGAGTGTTAAAACCCATAATATATGCACAAAACGGTTAAACCACTTAAACAGTTAAAACATAAGTACATAATATTATATTTTATTTATGACTTTATTTTAAATTATCAAAATGTTTGCTGATCATTTGTGACCGTACAATAACCAACAAAGACCAACAAAAAATAATATAAATCACACTACGTACATTTTAAAGTGACGCCAAAACCATGCTTAGCTTATTATAAGAACACGCACACATATTATGAACCTTAAACCATGTAGTTGGTAGCAAATGATTTTAGGTGCATATTATATGCGTAAGTGGACGTTTTTGCAAAGTTGGGTATCATTTACAATATATGTAGTGTTCTCTCTTTGTTAATCTGAGATAACAACACAACTCAAGCGCTTACAAACCCCGTGTCTGATTTTTCTAATAACTATTTTCTTAACGGCTTAAATATGTAATCAAACACAAAACCATAAACAACACAAAGTTAGCACTCTTACACGACAACCGCAAAAATAGATTCCTTCATAAATTACCTGTTCTTTCAAGAGAATAGCTTGCTGTCGCTTAAGCTCTCTTTCCTGTAACAAAGTATAAACGTAACTATTTTAGATGATAGGAAACAATATTATATCATGCTATTGACATTGTAGAAAGCATAATGTACTGAATTTTTTTAACATTATTATAGATAATTTTTATTTATTTTACCATTTACAACTATTACCACAGGTGTATTACCTAATACAATAGTGTAGTTATAAACTTAGAACTAAAACAATACAATGTTAATAGAACATAGTTGGATATACCAAATTGCAAAATTTGGAATGCGAATTGGCACGCACATACACAGAGTTTCGAAACATAATAAACATAGTAACAACATACATAAACAGAGTAACAACTTTATGAAATCTATAGACCATAAGGAGCCGAGTGTTATAATAATAGCAGAATTGTAATAAATATACCTATTAAAACATAATTAAACCTCTACAGCAGTCTACATATATAAAAAAATTATAGAAGCAAATCCTTTCTCAGGTTTTGACATTCAAAATATTTTTGGAGTGTTAATTTTGTTAAATACAAGTAAATAGCTTTAATTAAGAAATGATCGATATCTAAATTCAATCATATTTATGTTTACACATCATACAAACCTGCTGCCTTTTTGCCTGATCCTCTATTTTCTGCTTCTCTAACTCCTCCTGTTTCCGTTTCTTAGCCTTCAAATACATCCGGAGAGACAACATCGAAAGCGGTAGAGCAAATTATAATCAAAGCAGCGAACATGTAACAAATAGAAAATAGAAAAAACTAAATACGTGTTAAATAAAACTAATGCTCGTATTAATTAATTTGTTATGAATTGAATTTTACAACAGAAAATATAAGTAAGCGTTGTCATAATAGAAAGCGTGCAAGAAAAAAAACGAAAAATGGTTTGAATCCAAAACATATTATACATATTGTTTTTCTGTATTATTTTATTGAATTTATTGTAAACAAATATTTATCATTTAAAGTAGTAAAGAACCCCAATTAGCATATAAAATGTTTTCACCAAAATAGTTTTTTATATCAAGATTCTCAAAGTCTAAGATGCTAAACAGAATGGTATACAAATGAAAAATTTTAAGAGATATTTGACCGAGAAATGCATCCCAAGGCATCATTCATAATACAACATGAATTTGATTGTACTTGCCATGGACGAAGTTCCACGTGAGAACTGTATAATTCATTTTTTTTTATATTTACTTGGTCTTAACACTTTCACTGTCCGATTTTCAGACACAATATTAAGACAATAGCAATGACCTATTATGTAGTACACGGGACAACATTACATGTGTGTACATATACGAATGAATGAATAATGAATACATTTCCATTCCATTATTAATAAGCACACTACTTACACATACCATCACCGTTAATTAATGATCTCTTCGTTATGTAACGTGCATTTCTATTAGGCCATGTGAAATGAGCCGTAGGATACACATAATGATAATCATACAAAACACCCATACACATACCACAAACAATGATTAGACGTGTTAGTGAACCCGGAAAACGTTAGTATTTTAGTGTTCATTGTAATTGCTAACACGTACCAAGTACATGTCCTTACTGCCGAAGGGATGTACCGAAATAGATAGCGCACCATCTTTCCCTACGTTAAATGTTCCTTGACTGATCTTTTTAGTTATAATATCATTAAGTATGTTCTCATCGTCACCGCTTAGGTCTATGACTTCTTTTAGAACAGATTTTTGAGTATCTTTTGGCATTAGCATTAGATTTTGAGACATAAATTCGTTTTTGGCGTCTAAGTATTTCTTCTCGAGGCTCTTAGGGTCTTCGGTTTTACTATCCCCTTCTAATTTCGACCAATCGCAGCCATTTATGAATTCACTGATTCTCGAATATGATTCGATTAATTTCTCTAACTTGTTTTCTTTGTCTGGCACCTTTGCTTTCTTTTCTGCTGCTTTCATCAACGTAAAATCAAAATATTTATCTTTTGGTCGTTTTGGTAAATCGAAAGCAGCCTTTTCTGCAAAATCTTTCATTTTATCTAGAGCGTTATACTCTTCAATCTCCTCTTTCCAGCCAGTCTGGTCGAAATTCAATGTTTTTATTGGTACATTTTGATTGTCTTTCGGTCCGCTGACAGGTATTAGGGATAGACTAATTGGTGGCATAGTGCGGTCCTTGTTTGTTTTAACAGCTGGGCCCATCACTATTTCAGGAAGTTTCCATTCATTGGAATCGGTACTCATTTTCGGTATTGACGGCAGCGGCTCGATGGTAAGCTGCGTTCGGTTCTTGTTGATATGCTGTTCAGATTGCCATCGTTAATTTTTTTCGTTTTCACATTTTCTATTATCAATTGGATTATGACAACATTGTCAAAGTAAATGTTTTTGCGATTGTTTTTTGATGTTAGAACTAGGTAACACATAACCCACAGAAAGTATAAGGGTAAATTTTACATATATAAATAGTATATTATATAAAGATAACAAACGTAGCTATTGAGACACACAACTCAACTACCATCTAAAAGCTAAGAAGTCCAACGCTATCTACGAAAAGCAAAAAGTAACCATTTCTCTATCATATTTGTATTGGCCCTTTTTGCTTTCAAATATCTACATATTACGAATGTGAGCACAATGTTGCCAAGCATCAAATTGATAATAAAAATAAAAAATAAAAAACAAACACAAGCACATGTAAATTTAAAAAAAAAACAATACAAATAAATATAAACAATGTCTGAATAACAGTGACATACCAAATGAGAAAATTAAATAATTAAAAAAAAAAGATAAATAAACGTAAAAATTTAATTTTAATTTATAAAAATGGGTATTATTATAAAAATAATCGTTATAAAACCTATCATTATAAAAATAATCGTTTCACAATTTTAAGGTTTTTGATAGCTTAAAAGGACTGCTTAGAAATGTAATATAATATCAGTTAGTTTTGTCAGCTGTTATAGAGAAACTACTATTCAATATTTAAAAGAGGACAAGACTGTGTACATAATAAGTTAAGACTGGCGAATGACCCCGACATTACCCAATTAAAAAGGTTTAATTTACCTCTAACAGCTGCTGACTTCGCACTTCTTTTTCCCTTTTCGCTAGTTCAGCCCTTTCGGATCTTTCTAACTCTCGTACGAGACGAGCCTGTGAATGAAATGAATGATGATGACTTTGCTATGAATCCACTGTTGTTTTTGATATAATATGTGGAGTAAGGGATGATAGCTGATGATGATTATTATTATGAGTGAAGTCGACATAAGAGTTGTATCTCTTTTTGATTCATGTCTTAATATGAGTCATATGATTAATGTATGAAATATGTAATATAATACAATTAAGAATTATCTAGGAAAGTACAACCATCTCTTATAAAGGCGGACAAGATAAATTGATAGGTTGCGATGAAACGATAAATGTATAATTGGTAATGGCATGAATTAGTAATGAAGTACCTGTTTCTCTTTTTGACGCGAATAAAATATTAAAATAATTGTACAGGAAATTTAATGAGGTCGAATTCTTTAAGCTTAAGTGTATGCGAAGTCATCGAAATATCGTATAAGTTGTAATCGAAAAAAATCATAATAGTCAAATTAAGTAAAATATAAAATAATAAACTATAAAAACAATATCTATAAAACGCCTCAATATATGGTTTATATCACTAAATAAAAACAAGCATACCTTAGCAATACACATAATAATGTATAGGAGAATATATGTGGCGAATGTTGATGGCCAAATACTCAAACGCTACACAGTTTTAAGACGCGTTAAGTCTAGTGGTGTCATAGTCACTTTGACTTAGTCATAGAGACAGCACGAGACTTATTGGCGCCTTGAAATTGAGTAGTGTTTGAGTATTTCGGCAAAGGTAAAGCAAAGCTTGTGATATCAGCACATTGGTCATCTGCTAACTGCGCGTACTGCACAAAACTGTATTATACGAGCGCAATAAGAGTAGGATCGCATTTACTGACAACTACATTCTGTGACCTTTTTGTACCGTCAGCAAAAAAAAATAATTTCGAGAATTAATTTTTTTTTTTCGAGAAATTAATGTAGTTTAAACATGGTCTTGTAAATTTACTCCAAGATAGAAATGTTAGCGACATTGAGATTGGCATTAGGGCAATATCGCGGAAATCATGACTCAGATGAAATAGTAGCATTATTAATAAATCTTTTATTCACATTAAAGAAAACCACAAAACAATAACAAAATTCTATTTTTGCGTACCTATAAAACTCACTACAAGTTATTGCGCAATGCGAAGCAAAATGTCATTGACAAAATACTACTCAGACTACTAACCTGCTGATTTTACGTATCCCACGGCTGCTGCAGTTTATTTTTATAGTATAAGGGTAACAAACGAGCATACAGTTCACCTGATAGTGGATGTTGTGGCCCATAGACATCTACATTTATCCTCTATTAAGAATCAAAACGCAGATGCGTCGTCACCCCTGAGGCTTAAGACGGAATTTCTGGTTTTCAGTAAAGATGGTTTTGGGTTGTCTGCAGTGAGCATAGGAAGCATTGAGCTCGAGCAGGTGAGGGTGGTGGGTCGGCTCACCTGGTCGCGGCGCGGCGCGGCGTCGCGGCGCGCGTCGCGGGCGGCCTGCTGGCGGCGCGCCAGCTCGATGCGCCGCTCCACCGGCGGGGCGTGTTACCTGGTCGCGGCGCGGCGCGGCGTCGCGGCGCGCGTCGCGGGCGGCCTGCTGGCGGCGCGCCAGCTCGATGCGCCGCTCCACCGGCGGGGCGTGTTACCTGGTCGCGGCGCGGCGCGGCGTCGCGGGCGGCCTGCTGGCGGCGCGCCAGCTCGATGCGCCGCTCCACCGGCGGGGCGTGTTACCTGGTCGCGGCCTGCTGGCGGCGCGCCAGCTCGATGCGCCGCTCCACCGGCGGGGCGTGTTACCTGGTCGCGGCCTGCTGGCGGCGCGCCAGCTCGATGCGCCGCTCCACCGGCGGGGCGTGTTACCTGGTCGCGGCCTGCTGGCGGCGCGCCAGCTCGATGCGCCGCTCCACCGGCGGGGCGTGTTACCTGGTCGCGGCCTGCTGGCGGCGCGCCAGCTCGATGCGCCGCTCCACCGGCGGGGCGTGTTACCTGGTCGCGGCCTGCTGGCGGCGCGCCAGCTCGATGCGCCGCTCCACCGGCGGGGCGTGTTACCTGGTCGCGGCGCGGCGCGGCGTCGCGGCGCGCGTCGCGGGCGGCCTGCTGGCGGCGCGCCAGCTCGATGCGCCGCTCCACCGGCGGGGCGTGTTACCTGGTCGCGGCCTGCTGGCGGCGCGCCAGCTCGATGCGCCGCTCCACCGGCGGGGCGTGTTACCTGGTCGCGGCCTGCTGGCGGCGCGCCAGCTCGATGCGCCGCTCCACCGGCGGGGCGTGTTACCTGGTCGCGGCCTGCTGGCGGCGCGCCAGCTCGATGCGCCGCTCCACCGGCGGGGCGTGTTACCTGGTCGCGGCCTGCTGGCGGCGCGCCAGCTCGATGCGCCGCTCCACCGGCGGGGCGTGTTACCTGGTCGCGGCCTGCTGGCGGCGCGCCAGCTCGATGCGCCGCTCCACCGGCGGGGCGTGTTACCTGGTCGCGGCGCGGCGCGGCGTCGCGGCGCGCGTCGCGGGCGGCCTGCTGGCGGCGCGCCAGCTCGATGCGCCGCTCCACCGGCGGGGCGTGTTACCTGGTCGCGGCCTGCTGGCGGCGCGCCAGCTCGATGCGCCGCTCCACCGGCGGGGCGTGTTACCTGGTCGCGGCGCGGCGCGGCGTCGCGGCGCGCGTCGCGGGCGGCCTGCTGGCGGCGCGCCAGCTCGATGCGCCGCTCCACCGGCGGGGCGTGTTACCTGGTCGCGGCCTGCTGGCGGCGCGCCAGCTCGATGCGCCGCTCCACCGGCGGGGCGTGTTACCTGGTCGCGGCCTGCTGGCGGCGCGCCAGCTCGATGCGCCGCTCCACCGGCGGGGCGTGTTACCTGGTCGCGGGCGGCCTGCTGGCGGCGCGCCAGCTCGATGCGCCGCTCCACCGGCGGGGCGTGTTACCTGGTCGCGGCCTGCTGGCGGCGCGCCAGCTCGATGCGCCGCTCCACCGGCGGGGCGTGTTACCTGGTCGCGGCCTGCTGGCGGCGCGCCAGCTCGATGCGCCGCTCCACCGGCGGGGCGTGTTACCTGGTCGCGGCGCGGCGCGGCGTCGCGGCGCGCGTCGCGGGCGGCCTGCTGGCGGCGCGCCAGCTCGATGCGCCGCTCCACCGGCGGCGGCGTAGGCCGGGGCGTGCTCAGAGCTGCCAGCGCACGCGCCTCTTCCAACCTGACACAACATATTTTCCACGTCACTACGATACAAAAACTTGGCTAAGAGTAGCTATGAAGCCGGTATTCCGAGAAAATCTCGAGATTGGTACAGCAGAAACCCAGCTCTTTCTCATATTAAATACCGAGATTCGCATACTTCTTCCCCCAACCTAGTCTGCCCCTTCTCAATCCTATTCACCACAAATAATAACAGTTGGATGTAAAACATACTATGCACCGCGGCCGCACGTACAAAACCCCATATTTGTGATCTGCGGTTAACTGTTTGCCTAGTTCCTATGCCGATTAGTAACGTACGTAGTAGGCAAAATGGTACTACCATTTTGCCTACTATTATCCTTTTGCATTTCCTACATATTATTTCTTTCACTTTCATAGCTGTAAGCTTAAACTCAAACTTCACAATATCAAAATTTATGGAGCTAGTACAGACTAGACTCAAATTTGGACATTGCAAAATTTCGATTTTAAGGTCTGAGTAGACAGCATTGTGCGAAACATGCAGCGAGGCTGAACGTGCAGCCGTTATTGACAAGAGTTAATAAGTTTTATAATATTATACAAGAACGTACACTTGTATATAACCAACATATTTCTGTATGCTCGAAGATATTGCCACTAAGAACTAACCTAAATGGTACAAAATATAGTTAATTGATCCAGCATACACACATCCATTTAAAAATTACACACGAGTTTCAAAAACATGTATAACAAAAACTCAATTTATACATATTTCAATATGATTGTATGTTGTCAGGTGGATTGTGGGCTCATAAACTATGAGCCCACAATCCACCTGATGGAAAGTGTATTATTCTGTGGCCCATAACAGAAACAGAAACTTTTTTATTCAATATAGATTATGGTAGATAATAGTTATTGAAAGTCACTCTTTTGTATAATTACCACTGGTTCGAAAAAAAACCTCTGTCCTGGGAAGAACCAGCAAGAAACCCAGCGGGACTTTTTTTTTTAAATAACAGCTTACAATCATGTATGTTACACAAATTAACAACACAACAAATTAGAAATAGCTTGGTAGCGATCACCTCATTTCCAGGGGTTATTATCATCTATAAATTCTTTAATATTATAATAACCCCTTTTTTAAAAACTTAGTTTAATAAAGTTTTTGAACTTTGAGCAGGTCAAATTTTGTATATTTTCTGGAATTTTGTGGTAAAAGCGTATACATCGCCCCAAGAATGAATTACTGACTCGATGGAGTCGAGTAATTGGTACTACTAGCTTGTGTCTGTTCCTAGTATTTACAGAATGAATATCACTTATTCTTGTAAAACTACTTTTATTTTTGAGTACGTACATTACATTTTCATAAATGTATTGAGAGGCCAATGTTAATATATTAATTTCCTTGAATTTTTGTCGCAGCGTCTCTTTAAGCTTTACATCATAAATTGCTCTTATGCCCCTCTTCTGTAAAACAAATATAATTTCAGTGTCAGCTGCGTGTCCCCATAGCAAAATACCATGCGAGATTACGCTATGGAAATAGCTAAAGTAAACTAGTCTAGCTGTTTCAACACTAGTTAGACTTCTAATTTTTTTGCGGCATATGCTGCAGAACTAAGTCTGCTTTCTAGTTTTGATATATGGGGGCTCCATTGAAGCTTCGCGTCTAGTGTGATTCCAAGAAAAATGGTGGTATCTACAAGACTCAGTTTCTCCCCATTTAAAATTACATTAGTATTTAATTGTTTGACATTTGGAGTCATAAATATGATACATTTCGTTTTAGTGCCATTTAAATGCAAATTATTAACATTGAACCAATTTACTAATTTAGATATAGCATTATTTACTTCGTCATATTTTAGCAATTGTCGACTTAATTTGAAAATTAAAGAAGTGTCATCTGCAAATAATACTATATCATGGTTATCTCCTACTATGTAAGGTAAGTCATTAATGTATACAAGAAACAGAAAGGGGCCGAGAATTGAACCTTGAGGCACGCCCATTTGTACCATCGACCCGGAAGAACTCGTGCTGTTAATGACAACTTTTTGCGTTCTCTTACTTAAATATGAAATAATTAATTTAAGAGCTTCACTTCTTACACCGTAGTGTTGAAGTTTCCTGATTAATGTTTCATGGTGAACATAATCGAAGGCTTTGGATAGGTCACAAAATATACCCAAGCATCCTGTGAATTCTGCCATGCATTAAAGCCTCATACGCCAGAGCGTAGATCTCTGAAGAAAATTCTGTACCCTTTGTGTGACTGAGCTGAGATCTGCGCTTCCTGACTTTCAAGCAAATGTAAGCCATTTTACATATGTTTAAGGGTTTTTAAAGCTTATTATTGACTGAATCTTGACTTTTTGAATGAATGAACGAGTTGCAGTCATCAAACTTTGTCATTGGTTGCGAAAACAGAGTAAAAATCATTCTACCGTTAGTATGTAAACTGGCAAAGTGTTTTTTTGAAGAAAAAAGTGTAAAAAGTAAGTATTTTCCTATTATTTGTTGTATTTAGGACTGAAATCTTAAAATGGAATCAGTGTAGTGTTAACATTTCGATGGTTTTATTCGAAAAACATATGCGCAGAACCCTTATACTATATTTCCTTACTAATATTTGAAGTTGAAATGTATTACGACTTTTGCTTTACTTATACTATTTTGTAGGAAATTTCATGCAGATTTTAGATATGTGATACGTTTCGTTATGATTTGCAACATTATTTTTTTACGACCAAATTATCACACTAACTCGACATAAAGTATAAAAATATACCCTTACAGGATGTTCAAAAAATAATCATGCCGGAGCGTAGATCTACGCTTTGTGAATTTTGTTACACAATATCTATTAATTTTATAATTTTAAATATTTTCATGACAATTTAGGTAGAAGTATCATCAGCAAGTAGGTAAGTCGCGTGTCGGGGCAAATTATTATTAAGTATTACAATAATTTTTGATTTTTATTTAGTTCTGGTTTTTTCTTTAACTTTTATCTTTATCTTCTGTACGAGTATGTCACTGAATATCTTAACGACTAGACTGATTTGGAAATGTTTGTTTAAGTAGGTTCCTGGTCCTAGATGGTTAAGATTTACAATTGGACCAGTTAGAAAATCTATTATTTGGTAATGTTTGTGTATGTCTTAGCGGATTTTGATGGATGGTTCAGAGACGCGCCCTCGAGGGGCACCGGCGCTAATTGCTGGAATGCTTGTTGAACGTTCACCAAGTAGCATCTTACGCGTGGTACCAAATCAGCAAATTATAATCGAGAGCTCACAGTCAGGAACCTTGCATGTATATAATATAATACCTACATTATATTTGCTTATTCATATGTATATTTGGATAATATTATTTATGTGCTTTTATTTACAGCCATGGCGGCCGTCAACGCCTGATTTTCAAGAATTGTATTATTTTGAAGATGCAGAAGAAAATATTTTATTTTGATGTTTCAATATATAATTTATAAGTAATCTTAAACACATAGATAAGACTAGCAGCCATCCATTTCATTTATTCCATCACTTTGTGCACGTAAAACATGTATTTTCTCATTTTATCTATTCTCGTCCTATCATTTTATTATTTACCGAAATTATATCAAAGTATTAGCTTTTTTAAACACATTTTATACGTAAAACCAGAGCGTAGATATGCGTCTTTGCTTCGTGGCCAGAGCGCAGATATACGCTCTCACTTTGTGAATGCAGCGTAGACTTATTACACATACTTTATTTTTTTTTTTTTGTGATACAACTATTGTTTTATTCAATTTCTTCAAGTTGATAACGAAATTTTTGATAATACTGGATGTTTGTGATTCTGGAATTAAATAAAACCCTATTATTGTGTAAAAAAACGATTAATGCTTGAAATTTACATACTGATATACCAAAGACTGCAATTTATCAGCGATTGTTGATTTTTACATTAAAATAGCGATCACAAAAAAAGTGTTCAGAATTAATACTTGTACGCAAAATCGCCGGCAGACGACGGATATTCCACGTTACGCGAACTCGGCACATGAGCGGTTAAATATATATTTAATCAGCTCAACACCGGCATCAGTTGTCGAGCGACCCCTTGTGAAATTTGAAAAAACCAAATTGATTTTTATGAAGTAAATTATTTATATTAAAGAAATAACATTTGATCAAGAATAATTTTTTCAAAAATCTTACTAAGTGTTGGTAGTACAGAAATAGGTCTAAAATTGGCAGGGTCTAATGTACTACCAGATTTAAATAATATTACTTTACTATACTTCATTAAATCAGGAAACACACCAGATTCGATACTAGTATTAAAAATAATAGCTAAATGAGGCGCGATTGTATCTATTATAAACGCAATAACTTTAACGGAAATCCCCCACAGATCCGCAGTTTTCTTAACATCAATAGTTTTAAAATATTTTACAATATCTTTTGATGACACTTTATGAAATGTAAAATTCTTTGTACACGCATTTACATTTTGTTTAAGTAATGATTTGGCGACCGCAGGAGAAGAATTCAGTGACTTAGTGGTTAATATCGGAATATCAGTAAAATATTTCACAAAAACCATTGCAACGTCCTGATCTGATTCGGTTAATTTGTTATTAATACTTAACTGGTAGTTTGAATTGCGACAGTTGATCTTACCAGTTTCGCTATTAATTATACTCTCATTTTAATTTTATTAGAAGCCGTCTTAATTTTGTTGCTCAAATGCAAAGACTTGGCTGTGGAGCACACTCTTTTAAATATTTTTGTATATTTTTTTACATATTCCCTAAATTCGACGCTATGATTATATGACCTTTCATGGTAAAGATCATATAACCTATGTCTGCTCTTATGGACTCCTACTGTCGCCCATTCATTAAACTGACTGACTTCAGACTGTTCAAGGAGAATGTTTTAGAAGTAAAAGTATTATTAAATTCATTGCAAATAAGCTTAAATAATGTTCCATACAAAGAATTTGGATCATTTTGGTATGAAAGGCATTATCATAGGCACCTTTATCTATACTCGATAAGAATCAAAATGTAAATACATTATCACCCCAGTCGAATAAGATGGAATGCCTCGTTATCAGTAAAATGTACCCGGTTCTCCACATTCCACAATATTAACACAGAAGTTAAAGCTTAATTTCATGCTAGAGTGACAGCAAATTCCATACCCGGTCGAGCGGCAACATTGCTTCTAAAAATATAATGTTTTACAAGTCTTCGACGAAAACACAAGTTCTAACAGAAGTTTGTTTGGACAGAAGACTAACAGAAGAAAAACATTTACACAAATTGATTTAGTTACATAATTCGGATTCAACAATGGCAAGTTCTACATCGTCGTAAAGACTATTAATGAAATATACTATTAAATTATACATAAACACTCACGCCTGTCACCCAGAGGGGTAGGCAGAGACTACGGACTTCCATTTGGCGCGATCCTGACACACCTCTCTCGCCTCTTTCACATCCATATATCTACGCATACACGCTCGTCGGTTAAGGGTACTCCTAATCTGGCCCATTTTCAATGTATCGCCGATCTGGTCGATAAACCTTCGTCTAGGGCGTCCCTTCCCGACCCTGCCGTTCACTTCTGCAACATAAATTTGCTTTGTCACTCTTTCCTCGTTCATTCTTTCTACGTGACCAAACCACCGAAGCATTCCTTTCTTAATCCTTGTCACAACGTCATATTGCAAACCACACTTTTCTCTTATTACACTATTTCTCACCCTGTCATTCAGATTCAGCCCTAGCATACTCCTTAAGGAACGCATTTCTACAGCATTTATTCTACTCTCATGCTTCTTCTGCCAGACCCAACTTTCACTACCATACATTAAAGTCGGTACTAACACAGCATTATGAATTGCCATACGTGCCTTAGTTGACACATTCTGACTCCTCACAATAGCGTGTAGAGCCCCATTCACTCTATTTCCTGCGTTCACTCGTCGTTCTATATCCTTATCATATCTACCATCCCTGCTAAATAAACATCCCAAATATACAAACTCATCCACTTGCTCAATCAACTCCCCTTCTATTCTTATTTTACATAAAGTTTTACTTTCTTCTCTTTCAAAAACCATCACTTTCGTCTTACTTGCGTTCACTTTCATACCCCTTTCTTTCAATGAACAATTCATTAAAGTAACCATCATTTGCAACTCGGCCGCCGACGATGCAAATATGACTTGATCATCGGCGTACAAAAGGCATTTGACGGTTGACTCACCCATTCTCAACCCACATTCTTCAACTTTCAAAGTTTGCAAACAACTGTCCATAAATAGGTTAAACAGCCACGGGGAAGCCACACAGCCCTGTCTGACACCTTTATGAATGCCAAACCAGTCCGAGTAGACCCCGTTGATCCTGACACAAGCACTAGAGTCCCTATAAAGAGACCTTAATGCCTGTATCAAGCCAGCGCTCAACCCAAATGAGTTCAGTGTTTGCCATAACACGTTCCTGTCCACTCTGTCATAAGCCTTTTCCAAGTCTAAGAACGCACAAAAAACTTTCTGGTTTTTAGCCAAAAACTTCTCCGCTATCATGCGCATGGAAAAGACTTGATCCGTACACCCCATCCCCTTTCTAAATCCAGCTTGCACATCCCAAATTTTTCCATCAGTTTCTTCCATAACTCTTTCAATTAACACCTTAGCATACAGATTACCCACAATGCTAAGCAAGCTGATACCACGGTAGTTTTTACAGTCCTGCTGCGACCCCTTTCCCTTATATATTGGGACTATAACGGCTTTGCACCAGTCTTCCGGTACCCGTTTCAGTTCCCAACATAAATTAAACAAGGTGTGCAGCAGGCCTGCAACCACACCCTCACCAGCCCTTAGCATTTCGAGTGATACTCTATCATATCCGGCTGCCTTACCTGCTTTCATGCTTTTCATTGCTTTCATTATTTCATCTACACTTATCTCCCTACCTCTCTCCACTTCTTCCGGAATTTCTATTTCACTTATTTCAGACGACTCTTCACTCTTAAACACGCTTTCAAAGTATTCCTTCCATCTCTTTAAATTCGAAACTTCATCATTCAGCATGCAGCCATTCTCGTCTCGTATAGCATTCATTCTAGGCTGTTTTGAATTTCCCCTGGCAGTTCTTACGAGCTTCCAGAACATTTTAATATTTTCCTGGAAGTTATCAGATATCCTTCTATCATTTTTATCTATCCTTTCTTGCTTTTTCCTTTCAACAACTTTTTTTACTCTCTTATTTATACGTCTAAAGTTTGCCTTTTTTCTTTCAATCTCATCATTCATACTGCCAGAATTACCAGCTTTAGTCGCTAGTAAATCTAGCCATGCTCTCTTCTTTGCTTCAACTTCCATCCGTACCTCATCATCCCACCACAACGTATTACTTTTCCTTTCATTCGTTCTCTTACTTACACCGCATACTTCGGTGGCTGCATCCACCAGAACTCTCTTAATATCATTCCATACATTCTTCAATTCTAAATCATTCATACATAATTCATTCAACCCACTTATATTTTCCCTGAGTCTGCATTTATACTTCTCTTTCACACCTTCATCTTGTAACCTCTCTATTCTTATACGCTGTAACGCAGTGGTAGACACCGATGTCCGATGCCGCCAACGTCTGAATAGACCATTAATTCGGCATAAGACCAAGTAATGATCCGTCCCTACGTTGGACCCCCGGTAAACCCTTGTATCTACCACTGCGCTCCTCATTCTTTCATCCACAATTATAAAATCTATCATGCTTCTATCATCCCCTCTTTCCCATGTATACATGTGAATCCTCTTATGGCGAAAGAAAGTGTTCGCCACAAAAAGATTCTTTTCCACACATACGGTGAGGAGGTCTTCACCATTCTCATTTATTTTTTCATCGCCAAACGTTCCTAATATCCTTTCATAACCAGACCTCTTCACCCCCACCCTTCCATTAAAATCTCCTAACATAATAATATTTTCATTTTCCTTACATTTCATCAACACCAGCCTTACCATGTCCCAAAACTGCTCTCGGATATAAGTGGGCTTAGACATATCTGGGGCGTACACCCCTAGCACAAACAACTTCTTTAAGCCCACTTTCATTCGTATCCACAACAGCCTTGGGCTAACACATTCATACTCTTTCACACATTGACCCATTCTTTCTGAAAGGATGACACCGACTCCCTGGCATGCCCGCTCGGTCTCGTCTACTCCAGACCAGTAAGCGGTATACATGCCATGTGCAGTGACATCTCTTCCCTTTCGTTTCGTCTCGTTTACACATAACACATCTATTCCTCTATCATTCATCATTTCGCATACTTCATCCATCTTATCATTCATTGCTCCACATACATTCAGCGTAGCCAGACGGGCCTCCGCAATCCACTTTTCGCCCCTCCGGGAGACAGGACGTGACGGGTGGCGAACCTCGTCGCCGGTTTTTCTCCCGGAGATTCTTCGCACCCCTGCCCCATTAAAGGGGCGCCGGGAACTCGGGGCCATTTTTTTTTCTACTAGGCTCATGGTGCGAACTAAGGGGGTGGTAGATTTTACGCCGCTACCATACGGCGAGGAGCCGAGTCTGTCGTTTCGGCTTTGTCGCTCGTTTAGCACCACCCGGGGGACACGTGTAGGGTGGGCCTAGGATTAGGTGGTCGAAGCCTACGGACGCGAGCGACTCATCCCAATTTATAATAAATTTGCCATTTTTTTAAATATGTATGTATGTTTTAAGTATGTAAGAACTTGGCGGGAGTTCGCTCGCAGCGGTGAACCTCAGTCAATATGATTTACTATAATTAAATAAACGATTTAAAACTCCGACTATATTTTGTACTCATCATTTTGGTGAGTTCGCTTTTTCACAAGTAACAGTTTTTTATTGGATTTTGAATTCAAAAGCAAACAAGAAACCTTTGAAGATGAGGTATTCTCATGACATTTTGAACTAAAGTATTTTATAGCTTTTAGTTTAATAATAAATATACCACATACATTCATATGTCATAGAATTTCACTAACATATTTTAAAAGTATTTTATGAGCAGTTAAAAAATAAATAATTCTTCAAGCCATATATTTTATAAACGCACCTTTTCGTGATTTCAGCTTCGTTGAATATAAGTGGTTCTCCCAGATCAGGAGCCGGCTGTACGTACTCGCCTAATAACGTGCGTGCACTGAAGCTGAAGTTGTCTGTCGTTAGTGGCGGACACGGATTCGACTCCAGGAACTGTCCAAAAACACACATACATTAGGTAAACAATATTTCCTTAATTCTAAATAATACTCCACTAGTATTTTTTCTTTTGATAAATTCAATGTTTTAATACAAATAATATTTTAATATACGAGGGTGGATTGAAAAGTACTCGGCCTAACCAAGAAAATAAACAAATACTAAATCAGTTATATTTTTATTTTTCTACATAATCACCATCAAGTTCAATACACTTTTGCCACCTCCCCTTCCAAGCATTTAGATCGTTGAAAAAAAATGATTCTTCCTTAGAGTCAAAATATGCGTCTACAGCTGCTTTGACCTCGTCGTTTGTCGAAAATCTTTGACCTCCCAAGTGCTTTTTTAGGTTAGGGAACAGAAAGAAGTCTGATGGTGCCAGATCAGGTGAATACGGCGGATGCGGTAACAGTTCAAAGCCACAGTTGTGAATTTCAGCCATTGACTGTACTGACGTGTGAACACGGGCGTTATCTTGATGAAACAGGACTTTTCTTCTGAGCATTCCTCGACGTTTTTCTTTTATTTCCTCTCGTAAACGACGTAGTAAGGTGCAGTAGTAATCAGAGTTTATATTCTGACCCCTTTCAAGATAATCAATCATAATCACACCTTTCGAGTCCCAGAATACTGAAGCCATCACCTTATTTGCCGACAAAATCGACTTAGCCTTTTTAGGGGGTGGCGAACCAGGTCTTCAATACTATTTTGATTGTTGTTTTGTTTCCGGTGTACATTAATGAACCCATGTTTCGTCCATAGTAACAAAACGATTCAAAAAATCATCTGCATCGGCTTCAAATAACTCCAAAGAGTCGCGTGAAATAGTCAATCGCGTCCTTTTTTGTTCAACTGAAAGCAGTCGCGGAACCCACCTCGCAGACACCTTGTGGAAACCCAACTCGTTGACAATGATGTTTTGAGTTCGTTCATAAGAGATGCCTATAATCTCGGCTATCTCTCTAATTTTTAATCTGCGGTCTCCCATTATTAAATCAAGTACTTTTTTAATATTTTCGTCAGTAGTTGACGTCGAAGGCCTTCCAGAGCGGGGTTCATCTTTCACACTCTCTCTACCACGCTTAAATTCTGCTATCCATTTTTTGACGGATGAATATGACAGAGCACAATCGCCTAATGTACTGACCATGTCATCATGGATGGCTTTTGATGATAGCCCCTTCTTATGGAGGTACTTAATGACGGCACGCTGCTCGATTTGCTCCATTCGCGGAAATTATGTCCGATTACTTTGTTAATAAATTTATAAAATCACAACTAATTATCGCACACGTTTCGAACTTCACACAATGAACTAGTCTGAACTGAACTAAATAATGTGGGTAGATTTGATTTTTAGAATTGAATGGATCTGTGTTAGGCCGAGTACTTTTCAATCCACCCTCATATAAACAATAAAACGTTTAGTTACATTATAGCTTCTACCATTAGAGGTTTTATTTTATGCACGCCTGTGAAGCATCATATTATGTCAACAGTATTTTTTTTAATTTCGGCAAGAATAAAAAAATATTATTAATATTATTATATCAAAATAATAAATTTAAATTTCATGCATATCATAATTTCCTTTTTCAATTACACAATATATTACAATCTAAATATAAAGGGTATTTCGGAAAAATTCGGAATACGACTCATCATGCAACATTTCAGAATTGTTTTAACGATAGATTTTAAACATAGCAAGACTTTTAATATCAACAAAATGAGCCATTTTGTAACAGCAGTTGTATGCTTATGTTTTGACTGCAAACCGAAACTGGTTTTTCCCATAAATTATGTTGCTTAAATGTCGTAATAATGTGAACAAAGCTTACATGTAGTAATTGTAAGTCTGGTATACCAGCTTTCATATATTGCTTGCATAATGCCTCTGCTACTTAAGGACTTGGCTGGAAATGTTTGGATGTAATAGCAGGGTAGATACTAGAAAAAACATAACCAAACTTAAATAAAACTAGTGTTTACCGATTTTATCACATATATTAACTTATTTTATTTTATATTCCCGACGTTTCGCGCATTTTACAGCACCCATGGTTACGAGGTTTAGGCAAAACTAGTTTTATTTAAATGTGTAGTGTTCGCTTAAATACAAGAAATCATTATAACCAAACTTATTAACCAATTGATATGGTTTTTATATTATGTAAAAAAATAATAACAGCCAAATTTTCCCCTTCTCAGAAATTTAATTCAACTTAATATCAGAATTATGTTGCTCAAATATAAATGTGTGAAACTGTAGGCAATTCCTCATTTTTTTTTTTTACTGTAGTGTCATTTAAAATTGCCTTTATTTGATTCGTTGTTTTTTGTTATTACCATAAGAAGAGTATAGTTTAACATTTCCATAATTTAAAATTTCTACAAAATTTGTATTACCGTCGCAAGTTCATGTGTAGACTTTATAGTAAGTCCGGAGTGGGGCTCGGGAGGCGTGTAGCTCACGTCACCTTTTATGTTGCAGTTACGTGACAGTCCTTTGATTAGCGTCACACGTTTCCAACCTACAGGCAGAAATAGTAATTAGAAAGAAAATTTAAACTTCACAGTTACGACAAACCATAAAATAGATCGTTTATACGTGGTAGAACCATAGGTCGGCTCGATCGGGGAAGGAACACGTCTCACAAAATACCAGCGTAAAATAGCAGCTTAACACTGCTGTATTTCATATGGTGAGTGTAAAAAACCAGAGACCCTTTTTACTGGAAAAGAGGCATGCCATCTTAGTCTTCACGGGTGACAACGCATCTGCATTTTGATTATTTATTGAGGATAGATGTAGATGTCTATGAGTCACAGCAACCACTTACCATCAGGTGGACTTATGAGCTCTTGCTTAAATGCTCAGTAATGAGATGCCTGAGCCTGGCAGATAGACATTCCGATAGGACTTAATGTTATTTAATTTCATGTATACCAACAAAATAATTACTGATTTATTTTATTTTAGCTTTTATTTTATTTCTGCCAACATAATATTTACTGACAGATTAACAGAATGAGCTGTGAATTTTGTGTTATTTCAATTTTTTTTTCAATAGGCTGTAAAGTGTACGTCAAGGCAAAAAACCGTTTGTATTGTGTTTTGTATATTAGATATCTGTGTTTTATATATTAATGTGCTGTCGGAAGCATAGATCATACACATACATACTGAGAGGTAAAAGTGAAATACATTATACTTAATATACAAACTCAAAAGGTTATAGAATTATGGTCGAATTATGAATTTCAACCATGTAGTGGCGGTGTTAAAATATCCAATACCCAATATCATTCTCTGGGTGTCGTAAGAGGCGACAAAGTGAAATGAAACAGGAGATGGGTAACAGCATCTTCCTGATAATAACTCTAAATAATAAGAAACGGTGGTCGCGAAATCGATTGCCAAGCGTGGCAAGTATGGAAAATCCCTTCTATAAGACAATCAATAGGGGAGGCCTATGTTTAGCTGTGGACTTTTACGCTACTTTTTTTCTGGAAAAACTCATTCAAAGGGGTAATATGAATTTACAGGGTTGTATTGGTGATTTTATTGATAATAATTCTGTAAACACATAATCGCTATGGTAGCGAATCATATTTTGTTAAATATACAACCTAACCCTGATCTGCAAATTCCAAAATATGCAAGAAAATTTGAATTTCGCGGACCACCCTGGAGCTTCCACCTTAACACAGGTTTGGGACAGTCTCAGTTCAGGGTCAGAATGTAATTTTAATTATTATATTTGTGGTCAGTTGTCTAATTTAAAATTTCATTCCACTTTGGTTGACAACGCATCTGCATTTTGATTCTTAATTCAAGATAAATGTAGATGTCTATGGGCCCCAGCAACCACTTTTACCCTTATTCCATAAAAAACATATCGTCTGAGATGGCTGTTTCGAAAATCCATCGAAATGCAGGCGAACCTGTTTAATTAAGGAATAAGTAATTAACGATAATTGTTTTTTTAAATTTAATTTGTTAGATTGCTTACATTAAAAATTGTTTTTTTTTTAAATTATTGTTACATTACAAATCGTCAAAACGGGCATGTTTAATTATAATATATGTGTGTATGTGCGTATCTGACCGAGCGCGAGCGGCAGGCGCAGCTGCGCGTCGTGGCGGCGGCCCGGGTCCGAGGCGTCCGAGTCGGACGGCCCGCTGTCCGACGGACACTCCGAGTCCGTGCTCGCGCTCTCGCCCAGCAGCGACCGCAGCTTCTCCTGCACACACATTACATGTCAAACTATCCTGCAGTCCGTTTGGTCGCAGCAGCCATCTTTGGACAGGATTATAATGCACGAGCGTATGTACAAGCACCAATGTAGTGGATGCACTCTATTCCCTCACTCTCATAGTCCGATGGGACGGCAGGACCAACGACTTTACGTACGTTACCGAGGCATGAAGGTTAAACTCCGCTAAGTTCCTGACTCCGAGCTGCTTCTGAGAATTTCTTGATAGAAAAACGCAATAACTAATTTTGGCCAAACCCAACATTCTGAAAAGGAGCCATATCGAAGTATCGACCACTAGACAGACGAGATACAGCAGTGAACGACTAAAAGCGTGTCAATTATGGCAAATCTTCCCTAATATGATCATCCCTCAGGGACAACAACGCATCTGCGTTTTGATTCTTAATTGGAGAAAAATATAGATTTCTATGAGCCACAGTATCCACTAACCATCAGGACTGCAGCTGGTGATAAAGAACAACTTAAAAATAATTTGAAACTACCTTGGTGACCCAATCACTGTCGATTGCCTATGCGATAAGATTGAATGTATACTAAAGTCCAATCGCGGAGGACGAAGAATTTCGTACATTGAACTGTCATTACCCGTCTCTGTCACTCCCGCGTAAATACAATGAGTCTCGCTCGCACAGATACAATGGCCGCCGTCCTCAGGGATTGTAAACCGTTTACTGGAGACTATAAGGTTTGTTCTTGTTTGCATAATGTGGTTTTGGTTGGCCTTGAGTCACGACAAAAAGTCCTTGGTTTGCTTGACCTTGACGTAATTAATAATGTATAAATAACGAATTTAAATAACGAATTCTTAATTATTTTAATTAAAATACTTAAATCCAATGATTTTATAATTGCAAAAAGAATAAATAAATTAATTGATGTATAAAATTTCGAAATATTATTGGTTTATTTAAATGCGCACGACTAACAAACAGCCCTTTCATGGACACTCTGACTGAGCCGGCGCAAACCGGTTTGTACCCCGACGGAGCGTCGATGAACCTGTCGGTGAGAGCTCACGCACACATCTCTGCGCTATGTATGGGTGTGTTCGTAGCGAGCCGTTTGTATGTAGCTTCCCCTCTGGTCGGTTTCTTTACTCATGTGATTCCATCTTGGAATGCGTTAGTGATCGCTCAGTTTTCGGACACAGTTATTTACCTATTCTTAGTTTGTTGTTGTTTGTTAGTTTTTGTTATCTTGTTTTAATTATTAAGTGGTTTTGTTAATTTGTTAAGTTTTATTCACTCTTTTAAAATGGAACCAGAGCCGTCTACCTCGCGTCCATTCAAGGAGTTTGTTTCTCCGCGGAAGAAAAGAAAAATGTCACACTTTAGTGTATCTGAGAAGGTAATGATTATTAACGTGTTTAAATACGTTAAAAAATCCTGGCCTGCTGATAAATATCCTTCAAAAAAAGATATGAAGGACAAAACAGCCGATATCTTGGGCATTTCGAAATCAGCCATATATCGTATCTTAAAAGAATATACCGACACAGATACCGTCAAGCCAGCTGCTTCACCGAAAAAACGACTCTCATTAATTGAAAAGATTGATGGGTTCGATAAATCGTGCATTAGACGAATAGTGCACAGCTTTTATTTAAAAGGAGAGTTACCTACAGCAAAAAAGGTGCTACATATCATAAATACAGACGAATCCTTACCAAACATGGGTTTGACATCGTTAAATAAATTACTGAAAGATTTGAAGTTTAAGTATGTCAAACGAAGGAGAAATAACGGGTTAATCGACAGAGATGACATAGCATTGTGGCGTATCAAATATTTGAAAAATATGAAAACTTACCGACAGCAACAACGACCAATATATTACTTGGATGAAACTTGGGTGAATGCGGGTAAGACTTATATTTATTATTTTCTAACTGACTTAAATCTATACTAAGATTATGAATGTGAAAGTAACACTGTCTGTCACCTTTACCCGCCTAAACGGCTATTAATTGTTGAAACCTTTGATTAGTTTATTCATTTACTTTTCAGGGCACACTGTTGGCAAGGTGTGGGAAGACACTACAGTGCAGTCACGAAAACAAGCATTTTGGAGGGTTTGTCGACGGGTGCCAAGAATCCTACTTTCAAAGGCAACCGGCTAATTATTTTACATATAGGAGGTGAACAAGGATTCGTGCCAGAATCGGAATTGGTGTTTGAATGCAAAGGTACAGGCGATTATCACGAATCGATGAATGCAGCCAAGTTCGAACATTGGTTTCAAGCAATGCTACCGAGACTTGAGCCAAACGCAGTGGTTGTCATGGATAATGCCAGCTACCACTCAAGACGCCAGGAAAAAATCCCAGTTACTAGTTGGAAAAAAATAGATATTCAAGAATGGCTTTCATCAAAGCAAATTTCTTTTGAGGCAAAAGAAACAAAAGTCCAGCTCTTGAAAAAGGTTAAAGATGTCAAGATTCAGTACCAATCGTACGTGGTCGATGAGCTGGCAAAAGCAGTTGGTGTGGAGGTATTGAGATTACCTCCGTACCATTGCGAATTGAACCCCATCGAACTAGTGTGGGCAGACGTCAAGGGGTATGTGGCCCGAAAAAATACAACATTTAAGATGGCAGATGTTAAAAAGCTGCTCCAGCAGGCTTTAGGCAACATTTCAGCAGAAAAATGGCAAAATTGCATCAGTCACGTAAAAAAAGAGGAATCGAAATTAGCTAGACTAGATGATAATGTAGACAAAACTGTTGATTCTTTTGTGATAAATGTGACAGGCGAGACGTCTTCGGAAAGCAGTTACTCCGATACAGAGGAATCGGATTCTGATTTTTGATTTTTTTTTCTGCCGAATTAGTAGATACTTGTCTAGATTTTTATTACTTGTAATATAAAATCTAAATAAATAATTTATATAATAATAATAACTATATTTCATAAGTTGGTAAATTTTCTTTCTTCTTCAAATATTTCATGTAAACCGCACTAAATACAAAAATGTTTGTGACCACTGTCACTAGGTAAAGAGGTCATTGTACGAAATTCTTCGTGTTCCGCGACTGGACTTTAGGTTACAATGAGTGCCGATGTCAAAAACCCAGCAACAATCAAACACAAACCAAACTCGCAATATTATCGGCTTAGAATCCACGACTCGCTTAGGCCGACATTAGGAAACAATCTTAAAGAATTAAAAATAAAACTTCAAAATTTGACTACAGACTTTTTACACAAATTTTAACATTTTAAAATTTCAGTTTAAACTCTAGATTTTCTCTGAATATCTGCTCAAAGAATAATATCTGTCTCAATAATAAGGTACTTTGAGTCAATTAGACTCAGCTCAAATTAGACGGAAAACTATTTTGGCATTTTCCCATTGATAAATGTATATTGTCTTTATTTCATTTAGATAAATTTAAAATCAAAAGATAATTTGATATTCCGTTAGAGCAAATTACCTCATAATATTCGCAATCTATTTGAATTGTACAAGAACGGTATTCATTTATTAGAAGAAACTCTCAAGTACTCAAGCATAATTTGAGTTGTCACTAATGTTCATGATTTATGTTAAAGGTGTTGTCGCACCAGGTCGGTCTCGGCGAGCAGTTGGTGCGCAAGCGCAGGGCGTAGTCCGAGCGCACGACTCTGTGCTAGAAGCGACGCCACCGTGTTCTTCTTGGGTTTGCTCACGCCACGACCCAAGTTCCTAGGCCGTCCCTCGCGCGACGGCCAACCGCCAACAGCTGTCGATGATACACGAATGAAATATTATTATTTTTGTAAAAAAATAAATATATATTATATTTTAATATATTATTATATTTTAATATATTATTATATATTTACAAAATTATTATACATCTAACTTAAACCACGAATAGTGGAAAAACTCTTACATTCACTGTCCTCGCTACCGCTGGATTTAGGTCGTGGTGATTCAGCTACTTGAGAGTTCAGTTCAGGCGCTACTCGACGGGGTTTCGCCCCTGGTTTGCGGCGAGCTTAAAACCATAGAAAAAAATCAGGAATGATTTTATATGTAGCTGCTAATTTAGAACAACATCAAAAACATAATAACTGGAAAAATATAACTCTGAAGACCTGTGTTATCTTCCTAACCCTACAAAATATCGAAATATATTGAATTTTTTTTTTTTATAGTAAAGGATGACAAACGTGCATACAGTCCACCAGATGGTAAGTGGTTGCTGCAGGCCATAGACATCTACATCTATCCTCAATTACCAATAAAATGCAGATGCGTTGTCACCCGTGAGATGAATGAAGATGGAATGCCTCATTTCCAGTAAAAAGGGTCTCCAGTTCTCTACATTCACCATACGAAACACAGCAGCGTTAAGCTGCTATTTTATCTGTGAGAGCGAGGTCCTTCCCCGGTCGAGCCGAGCCATTCATGCTACAACTATACTATTAATATAGCTGCAGCATGTCTCTACCATGTCTTTTGTAAAGAGATAAAATATTCCCAACTATTTTACATTTAAAAAATGATAACTACGTTGCATAGAAAATGTAATGAAATAATGATAGCTTATTCTATTACATTGTATACCAAATAAATCCACCATTTTTGGTATATGTTAACATCATAAAACCTGCGTATCACAATAAAACTGACTTGACTTTTGAACTCACATATTCTGTCGTTATTGGAGGAGGCATTTAGAGAGCTGCTCAGAGAAGTGAGACGGGACAACGCATCTGAAGCCTGCGTGCTTGCTGTAAGGGAAAACAATGACAAATCAAACTAATACAATTCTAAAGAATAAGTATTTATCAATTATTAAAATTATTATTAAAATTAGATGAAACAAATTTTACAGATACTATCGGGTTTATTTTTAATTTATTTTAAAAGCTGACACTCTTTTGAAGTTAAACCTTAGTCTAGCCCCAGCTATAACTGGTGTCTTGTAAAGCATCCAAAACATTGGGCATCAAAAATATGTTAAAGTTGATAAAATCCGTAAAATAATTAATTAACTTTTTAAGAATACAGTAAATTTTAATATTAAAGTTATTATTTAGATAACAATGCTCACGCGGCATAGGCTTCAATGACAGGTTGAGTGGAGCGTCTTCGTCAGCTGCCGATTTGACGCCCAGGTCTAGTGGTGCATCTTCCGACGAGGCTGATTTTGTGCTCAGGTTGAGACCGGAATCTGTTGACAATTCATTACTAAAATCCAATAATCAATTTATCAATAAAAGATTCTTTGACGACTTTGTGGAAGATCCCATTTTATCCCATAGGCGTCGTAAGGGGTAACTATGTCAAAGGTCCCACCAGTGCAAGGTTACAACCACCAAGCCTGGTAAATATAGACAAATCTTTTAAGGAGTCGTGTAAAAACCTAATATCGACAACAACTTTATCACGCATTCCAGGTTTTACTAGATAGAAACTGGTTTCTATGTTCCAGTTGAAAGATTTAAATTGTGCTGTTTTAAGTATGCTATGCTGACCGGATCCGCAAACAGAGTTCCCGGTAATGGTAGTGTGAACGACAACGCACCTGAGGCGGGCTGGGCGCCGGCCAGCTGACGTTCGAGCGCCGCCAAGCTGACGCCGCTCTGGCTGGCGATGGTCTGCAGCAGTTCGCGCGAGATGCCGGCGTAGTCCGCCAGGTTGGGCGGCGGCGTGCCCGCCAGCGGGCCGCCTGCTCTGTCCGCTTTGCCCGGCAACCGGATCACCTCCACAGATGACCGGGAACCGCCGTAATCCTCCTACAGGAAATAATTAACACACTATGCGCACGCTAACACCATCGTGTTGACTGACAATTTCGCCCTCATTTTTGAATATAATAGAAATTGCTGATTTGTAAATTTTGGAGTAAAACTAATTTTACGGATTTCACTGTATTTAATTTTGTATTATTTTTAACTAACTACTTATTTTGTGTGCTATACAGCACTAATGGTCACAAAGGGACACTGAAAGTGTTTGATGTGACGTTTGAAGTCTTTTTATAGAATAAACATGGCAAACAAGCACATAGTCCACCTGATGGTAAGTGGATACTATCGCCCATAGACATCTACATCTATCATTGATTAAGAATAAAAATGCAGATGAGTTGTCACCCTTCAGGACTAAGATGGAATGCCTTGTTACCAGCAACAAGGGTGTCTGGTTAGAGAACTGTGTAGAGGCACTCTCCGTACGAAACATAGCAAAATTATTCTGCTGTTTCACACTAGCATACTGTGAGTGTGATGCTATTCGAGTCGACCCACTCGTGCTGCAGTGAGGCCTTTGAAAACTTAGACTTAATGTTTGATTTCATTAATTGTCATAGCTTTCTAGTGACATAAATGATTGTAGTCAACTTGGCTAACCTTGGCGTCATAGTTAGGTACGTGGAATGGGGGGGGTTCGACCGGGGTAGGACCACGCTCTCACAGAATACCAGCGTAAAATAGTAGCTTAATGCTGCTGTGTTTCATATGGTGAGTGAAGAGAACTAAAGACCTTTTTTACTGAAAATGAGGCATTCCATCTTAGTCCTCAGGGGTGACACACATCTGCATTTTGATTCTTAAATGAGCATAAATGTAGATTTCTACGAGCCACAGCATCCACTTACCATCAGGTAGACTGTGTATTCGACTGTCACCCCATTCTATAAAAAAATTAACCTTCAAGATTTATACTAACTTTTATTTAATGAGCCTCTTGTATCCTGAAGTTTTAATTAAGATCCTAAACCCAAACCAACAAAAAGTGGACCTAAATTTAAAAAAAACTTAAATGAAATAAATACATACATATTAAATGTATTTCTTAGTTTGAAGATTTCCACACTCTACCAAATGCACTCTTGAAATTTATGTGCAATATAATGTGAAGTGTCGTTAATAAGTTTGATTCATAGAATTATTACGCATAGAATACTAGTACGCGCACGGAAAGTGAAGCAAGTTAAACTAACGCGAAACCGCGTTAGTTCACTCAGCGACGCGTCAGTGCGCAACGTCATGTCTTACGGAGAAGAGCTCGCGAAAAATTGTAAAAATTACAGTTTTTGTTGTAAAAGATTGTCACAACAGTGATGATAAACATAAAAGAAGTGATGGTACTGCATTTCACATACAAGTTTATATATTTAATTCATTATAACTACGTAAAACTAAAAAAATACTTACCTAAGCTATCCTAATACAAATGTTGCTAGTTGTGGGAAAAAAATCACAATTTTCTTTTAAAAATATTTTTTCTATTTGTGTTTAAAACGTTTAATCGCAACGCTCTGTGTAAAACTCAAATATTTATATATAAATACCTACTTCTCTGAGTGTTAACATTATATTAATAATGGGTGCCTATTTAAAACTAATACGGAATGATCAGCTAATCGCGATTCGTTGACGCCATTTTAACGCAACTATTTTATTTTAATTGCTTTGTTTACTGACTAAGGCCACGTTTTAGAGTATAGAATAAAAACTTTTTTATTTACAACATACAACATACATACAACAATAAGAACGCCTTTACTAACCAGATGTCACTTTACACCCAAACATTAACCAGATGTTACGTTAAACTCAAACATAGCCTATTTTAACCGACTCTCAAAAAGAAAGGTTAGCAATATGTACGTACACTGATTCTAAGCTTGATCAATTCGTATATACATGCTGAAATTTTAGTGGTTGTTGTCCCGCAGCCAAATTATACTGTATCGATAATAGAGCCAATTTATTAAATTAAAAATATTACAATTAAAAAAGGGCAGATTTACAATACTAATACCTCACAAGCTAGTCGGGCGTCCAGACTAGTTTATGTCGTATCACCACGCATGAGACTTCATGTTATGAACATCTATTAGTGGCCCTTCACTGTGTAGGAAGCGCGTGGTAGCGCGTGCGATATACGTAACACTACATTACGTCCAGCGAATTAATTTTTTCAGACAGATGGTTGTGGGGAAAAATCACAATTTTCTTTTAAAAATATTTATTTTCTATTTGTGTTTAAAACGTTTAATCGCAACGCTCTGTGTAAAACTCAAATGTTTATATATATATACCTACTTCTCTAAGTATTAACATAATATTAACAATGGGTGCCTATTTAAAACTAATACGGAGTGATCAGCTAATCGCGATTCGCCGACGCCATTTTAACGCAACTATTTTAATTGCTTTGTTTATTGACTAAGTCTACGTTTTAGAGTATAGAATAAAAACTTTTCTATTTACAATATCAAGATATTATTAATAAGAACGCCTTAACTAACCAGATGTCACTTTACACCCAAACATTAACCAGATGTTATTTTAGACCCAAACATAGTCTATTTTAACCGACTTCCAAAAAGGAGAGGAGAGGTAGATGTACACTGATTTCTAAGACAATTCTATATTTACTAGTTTATGTCATATCACTACGCTTGAGAGTTCATGTTCTGAACATTTATTAGTGGCCCTTCACTGTGTAGGCAGCGCGCGGTAGCGCGTGCGATAGACGTAACACTAAGTTACATCCAGCGAAATTTTTTTCAGACTTTATTATAGTAATACGGTATAAGCTAACCTGCACGCCCGACCTACTTGCGAGATATTGCTATTGTTTTGAGATCGCATTCGAGTTTTGTTTTCTCGATTGTAAATCTGCCATTCTCGCATCCTAATTTTAATAAAATAATTACTACCAAGACAAAATAATTTGACATCGGGAAAACAACCATTAAAATTTTAGCGTGTATATTGGATCAATCTGTATGTATATCCTTTCAAATAAAAAAATCTAAATCGATTTATAAATTGTAGAATGCTGAGGTAAAAAACATTTTAAAAAAATACACCGAATTGAAAACCTCCTCCTGTTTTGAAGTCGGTTAAAATTAAATATTACACGATGTGCTTATTGTATTCGAGCAAATTAATTGTGTTTAATAATATTCTTAAATTTTATTACGTCTGTATTTTTGTACCATTAAAATATGTATAATTAAGTTATATTAGTACCATCATTATCGTGTTTATTTTATTCCATTTTATATTCTCATAAAATATATCTTCGTACGTAATACGTAATCTTTATTTTATCGATTTTTTATAATTAATCAAAAAATAGTGATTTGCACAATTTGATTGCAAACGCCAGACACTGGTATCACTGAATGGCGTGTATGTGTGCGTGTGACGAGCGTAGGCACATTCGACTCGCGCCCACTAACATAATGACTTTGCATCATTTTAACGCTCGTGTTTTGTACTGGACTGCGTTTCTATGCGTAATAATTCTATGGTTTGATTCTTTTCCGACATGCATTGTATATTTTACTCCAATATTTCATGTGCCCGTTACATTTCACTTCTGAACATGGAGCTCTGCTATTGTAGGGAGTTACATCAAACAGAAAGCAATATAAAGACGAAAACGTAAAGTTTTTTTTTTGTAAAATGTAAATTTAAGTTAGAGTTTAAAGAAACAATTATTTAAAGTACAATCATTAAAAAAAGTAAGTGTTCAGAAATAAAATGAAATAGATATCATAACAACATTTGAGGATTGGACAGCGAAAATTTGTAAAAAATTATTAAAATTGATCTTGTCTGGTCATGTCTTGTCTTTTATGTTCGTGTCTTTTATGTTGCGCAATAACCTACCTCCATAAGCTTGTATCAAGACAGGGTAGGGTAGGTGAGGTTGAGTGCCTTTATATTATCACATACATTTTTGGCACATAATGCCTACTGCACAGTTAATAGTATCTAACAGTATTCTAAAGTTGTTATCATGGTCAGATTCAGCTAGGAAGGCATCATAATAAAAAGGAAGTTTATGATTGGTGGAATTCTGAAGAATGGTAATTTTTTATAGCACTTACGACTTTAAGAAGCTTGTTCGGCAACGGCGTGGACCTATCACCTGCTGAAGGGTGAACAGAGACTTGCGGCGGATCAAGCGATATGGTTTTCTTGCGACCTCGGTTAGTTGTCCCTGGGGGAACCTGAAATAATTATAAGAGTAAAGTTACAGCCTTTATACGTCCCACAGCTGGGTACAGGCTTTCTCTCATGTCCAAGAGGCATTCAGGGTAAGGAGATGTCCGCCATGCTACGCCCAATGCCTGTAGGTCTTCGAAATATTTTTTTAATTTCTCAGGCAGGATTCCTCACGATGTGTTCCTTAGCCGCAATGCACGTGGTAAATTAGTGGTAAAATAAACATTGTAAAATGGCAATTAACAATTTCATTGTGAATGGCGGTGATAAAACTCGAAAATAATTGATTGATACATTAATGTTGTCTCAAGTATGTTTACTTTCTATATGAATATAATATGCAATCGTGAGGCCATCTTAGATTTCATAATACAAAGCAACATGACTTCCATCGCCGCCGACACATGTTTAACCCAACTGTAAATACTGATTTATTAAGTGTTCAGCAAAGAAGGAAAACATTGTGAGAAAACTTGCATATGTGAATATATTTAATATTTCAAGTAGGTACGTGAAATCAGTCAACACCGACTAGAACAACATGGTGGATTTCTTTTACCTAAACCATCTCAGTATGAGAGAGGAGTTGTGCTTAGCAGTGGGATGTAGATGGGTTGATGTAATCTGTTCTACCATAATCTTCCTTATTATTTTTAAACATTAAGCAATAACAGCTCAGTGACTAAGTGTTCACCGTAAATGTCACAGTACGCGAGCAACCCGCAGACTAATTGTTCCATAACTCTCTCAAAAATTACAAGAGGCCTGAGTCCAGCAATGGGACAGATTTTAACTTTATTTTTTTATATGTTAATTCATTCGTCAGAGTTGTCAATCAACACACAGTTAAATATACTTACATCTTTTCCATATATTTCATAAAGAATGATAATTAATTAAACATTTAAGTTTTTTTTTAATTTAAGAATTAAAAAAAACAATTACATGAACTTTTTACCTTTGGTCCCGCTAGAGACGAAGTGTATTTGATAATTTCCGTGTCAGGTGGAAGACGAACGCCCCCTAGCACCGATGCTGGATCACTGAACATAAAAAATACCATATTAAAGATATTGAAACAAAATTTTAACAAAAGCGCAATCATGTTTCTTAACAAACATTATATCTATATCTTTAACTCACCCGCTTTCCAAAGCGGCACTATAGGAAAAAAGATAGGATGTAATTATAACTTATAGGTCCTACTGATTTCAAAACATCAATGTATACAATATTTAAAAGAAAAGGATTAACAAAACGATAGAGTAGATCTCTCTTGATAAAAAAATCTGTATTGATTCATTTGCAACCAAGTTCTTAATTTAAAAGACTTCTATCTTATTACCTGAGTATGGTGTGCGGAAGACCTGTGAGAGAATCAATGCTCGAATGTCGATCTTTCTCTGAGCCCGGCATTCCAAATGGGTATCCTAGTGGTGACATATTCTAAAACAAAAAAAATATTATTAAAGAACTTCATTATGCTATGCTTCATGTTAACATTAAGGTAGCATTAATTCAAAATTCTCTTAAGCAAGAGTGTGGTATTGAATCAAGAGGACTAAAGACAGCAAAATAATGTGCGTTATTATTTGTCGCTTAATAAGTTTAGGATGTGCAAAAAAATTTAACACTGTGTCATCTTCAAATAGCATCAAGTAATGATAGACATTTAGAAAGTGAATTATCAATAAGCCCCATCCTATTGTTATCCTGAGCTCATACTATTTTACATTTCTTTTTATGCATGAAAAACTATAAATAACATGTCACTGAAAACTGTTAGCTATCAGAAGGTTGTTCAAATCAATGTGGACGTTTATTTTATCATTTCGACATGATCAAGATATTATAAATTTGTACGTCTTTACCTTTCCTTTGGTGGCAGCAGCAACAGCAGCATGATAGGCGCCATGAGCTGCCGCTTGAGCCAACATTAGATCACCACGTAATAGAGCGAGATCACGGTCTTTGCTCTTGCCAGATGAACTTGATGAGCTCTTTCCTATAAAAATATAATTAAATTGATTATATTAGTTGGATACTAATGATTACCGAATTGACGAGAGAATTAATCTTCGAATTTCTTAAAATATTAGGAAGATCAGGTACACTAAGCAATTTGCAGAATATCTCATACTTGTCAGAAATAAAATACCCAGATTCACGACGGAGAGCAGCATCAAAGTAGCAAAATCTTTGGCAATATGATTGTCACTGCCTACTATGACACATGGTCATTATACAGCAACAGACAGTTCACGGGGTAATGTTGATGATAATTAATTATATTTATAAAGGTACATTATTATATTTTTGTAAGTAATAGGAAAATTTCTACAGAACAACATCAATTTGTTTGAAGTTGTTATTGGTATTACATCAAAAAAATTATGAAATTGTCTCTAAAACCGAGTAAGTTGGCACACTTACTGGGTGGAGTAGGTGCAGGTGGAGGTTTGCTGGAGGGTTTGGACTGATGCGGTGCCGACACCAAGCTGTTGAGAGAAGCCAGGCTAGATAGCGACGCTTGGGAGTGCATTGTCGACGGAGATGATGTCTTCGGGAATCCGTACGAAGTTCCTGAATTTAGTAGTGAATATTGGATAATTTAATTGAGCAAATGTAATGATAATTTTATTAAAAACACATTTATAATAGTTTGTTCTTGTTATTTGTAATGATTGTCATAATTTTATTTTTCTTTGCAAATAATATTAAATACACTAAGTAATATGATAATATATAAAATAAATTATTTGGATTTAAATTTAAAGATTACAGAGAGGTTATAAGTAGACATGAAACGAGTAGTGATTCGCAGAGTACTCGGCCTAGATTGGGCCGAGTACTATGCCGAATACTCGAATTTAAAAAAACGTAGTAGAGGGCGGCGTACGGTTATTTCCCTTACAAACTAGACCCAAATAGGACCGAAAAGCTAGTGTTTTTGCATCACAATCTTTCTCTCTTAAATTTTAAATATTAGTAATAATAATTTCTAAGATTAATAACTAAGTTTCTTATGTATATTCTAAATATTTCTACTGTTTCTCATGTTCCTGGTGTTTTAATGTGTCTAATATAATAATAATGATAAAAACTGGCTTTTGTCTATATTTTTCTCTGGAATATAATTAAGGCCGAGTACTCGGTATTCGGCCGTTAATACTCGGTGCTCGGCCGAACCCTAAAAAAAGGCCGAATCCGCCGAGTACCGAATCCAAACCGAGTACTAGTCCCATGTCTAGTTATAAGTATAATATGCAAAAATTAAACATAAAACTAAAACAATCAGAATCACTAGTCAACATTACAATGAAAGCTTTTTAAGTATATTTTTTGAATTCAAATTAAAAAACTTAAAATATAAAGATAGATTCAAATACAAGATGAAAAGGGATACGTGCCCCACTCACTCATGGTTGGTTGGGAGTTGGCGCCGCTAGTAGATGGACTCTTATCTTTCATTGATGCACTTGATGACGTTCCGCTGCTACTTCTACCTGATCTACTGCAAAATTAAAAAGAAAAGTGTTAGGCCATTCTCCGTAGGAAAAAGAAACTGTGGGTTTAGCCACTTAAATTTCTACAATCATTAACTCCAATCATAAGATTAATTAATGAAATCCATTGCTTTCTTCATTTAGTTTAACAATTGTAGAAAGAATGTTGAATGGTTTCATATCACACAAGACTTAACAATGCAATGTTACATTGTTCACATAATTTTTTAGGGTTTTCTATTTGCGTTAATGATTATAGCAAGTCAATGCTGACCCACTGAGCTTTACTGAATATCTTTTACTTTTTTTAAATAATACCAAGTTACTAAAGCTAGTAGTAACATTATCAGTAATTCCATAATCCAATCCAACTAAATTTACAAAACTGCAATTAGTCCGCACAGTTGTTAGCCGGACTTCATATGTCTTCGAAAAATTTGAACTCAAGTAAATCAGTAATAAAATTGAAATTAACAATTTCATTGATGCCAATGGGGATCAAGCCCGGGCTGCTAGTTGCTGGCAAAATTTTCAGCGAGCGCTTTGTTTAGATAAAATTAAAAATTCATAAAAATATAAAAAAATAAAAATTGGTTACAAGAAAAAGTACCTTTGATCGTCAATGTGTATAAATAATAACTTATTGTAAAGAGAGAAAAAAAACAGGTGATAGTTATCTTACATAACCATTTGAAGTATTTGTTAAGTTGTAAGCCGTTATTTAAAAAAAAAGTTCCGCTGGGTTTCTTGCTGGTTCTTCCTAGGACAGAGGTTTTTTTTCGAACCAGTGGTAATTAAACAAAAGAGTGATTTTCAATAAGTATTATTTATAATCTATATTGAATAAAAATGTTTCTGTTTCTGTTTCTGAAGATGTTCTTACATTGTGTTGTACTTGTACTGTGTACTGTAATACTATAGCCAGTTTCATAGAATACATGCAAGGGGTAAAATTGGCCAAGTGCATGTTTAGGCACGCGTAAGGTAGGGTTACTGTAGGGCCTGCTATTCTGACCACACAACTCTTATCGCACTTTTAATCAAATTCTACAATTTTTTTTAACTAGATATACTTTTTTTTTACTGAAAGTATGCAGCAAGTGTTCAGATATTTTACTTTTTCCTCAATTTTACATGTTGAAAAAGTTGTATTATTTTAAAACGGTCACATTGCAGGCTAATTTCAAGCTTGATATTTCTAAAGCTAAATGAATGTTTTATGAAAATAATTGCGTTTTTGTAACGTGGAAACAATCATTTATACATGCATCAATTGGATGCATCTAAAATAAGTGGCTTTAATAGATCATTTGACAAACCTAGACGAATTATCAAACATCGGCCACGTTACCTGCTTTGAACCTTGTTTTACATTGATCAGTTTGCACTGCCACAAATTTTGTATCAAGGACAGTTCTAGTCAAAGAAAAAAGTAGCCTAATGTCTTGTTACAAATGTTAAACAAGGAAATAAAATACGTTGAAGACAACCTTAACACAACAAAACAAATACAAATACAAATGTATGACAACAAAAGCAGCAAGCAATAAGTTATGCATATAGAATGTATTATATTATGTACAACATCATTATTCATTACAGCCCATCGCAAGTACACTGCTGATTGTGAATTTCTTGAGAGAAAAGATAACTGATTTTGGCTGGACCCGGGATTTGATCTCGGAGCCTTGATTAGCACGAATGCTTACGACCATTAAACTAATAATAAGTTTATTATGCGGATATTCAATAACAATTACTTAAGTGTTAGATAAAGTAAATGATTTAAAGTGATTATATACCATGTTTAAGAGAATAAAATAGCATAATATTCTTTTAAATAAATCACTGGTTTGAAATTGAAAATTGGAATCTAAAGCTGATACTAACATTTAAGCAAGTTAGTTATTATTAATTTACGTACCTAATTGTACGTACTAACCAGGGGCGTAGTTACCGCCGTATCAGCCGTATCAATGATACAGAGCCCCCGGGCTACAGGGGCCCCGAACGTATGTAAGCAAAAATTCTAAGGACTTCTATGGGACAGGATATTGGTTTGAATTGTTTGGCTAGCTTAGTTCCTAGGAGTATTAATTGTAAGTAATAACTTATAATCAATATATAATTATTCTAATTCAATGCGAGAGTTTTTGTTCCTTTTGAGAAAAATCTTTATCCTTAATTTGGGCCCCCCGACAAATTTTGATACGTGCCTTAGAGGGGGCACGCTACTCCACTGGTACTAACGTTCTGTTTGCAGGTTTGCACTTGGCATCAAGTTCTAAATCTGATCTTATCATTTATAATGTGTGTTATATCGAATATGGATAGATAATGAGTGAAGCTACTGTTGTCTGCAACATAAAAGGTTTCAGAAATCGCAAGCTTAGAGGAATAATTAGAAACAGCCAGAACAATATAATTGATAACAACAATTTTTACTGTTAAACAAATGTTGGTTTCGGCTATTTTTCAAACATGGAATCCGCAGCGTATTTACGCAGGTACTTTGACATTGATACCATACGGTCTTGAAATCAATAATAATTAATGACGTACTGAAACTAGAATAAATGTTGTCGTTCATTTTCTTCGTCTAGTCGAACAATTATTGATAGAGTGGACGCAGAGTGTCGCATCGCGTCGGGCCGATGCTTCTAGTGCCGGATTCATAAACCTAGCGGACCTTAATTCTAACGTTATTAATTATTGTTGAGAGTTATGGAATTATATCCTATTGAAAAATTATGACTTATGCATATACCTTTTTTATGTTGAAAAAATACCTTTTTATTTAATTAAAGTAGCTAAATAAATATATAATATATAAAAGAGCATACAAATTATAAGTATTTAAATTACGTTTGTTCACGTACTCGTTCGTATACAACTTACCTATCATTACGGATAGGTTGTTTTGGATGTTTAGGTGGTTGTTTCATCCCGGCACTAGCCCCAGACAAAGCGGATAGGGCTGAGTAGGGGTCTCCAAGCGGTGGGAAATTTAGACCAGAGGCTTGCAAACGAGCTAAATAGTCCTGCGCTGCTAGATGTGAGGCCATTGACCACCATGCCGCACCTGAAATTGAAGCACAGTTTTTTTTAAACTACTGTCAAGCCAGTGTTTCACTACAATCCCACCTGATGGTAAGTAGTAACGTAACCAAAGATGGTACAGCGCACTAACTTAGCTTAACAGAAGCCTATTTACTCTCGCCTGAAATACCCACTTTTTAAATGTATAGTAAGACAGATGCTGGCACATTATTCCGTTCCATTTGTCAATAAAACCATTCGTGGGTCTCATCACAAGTTTACTGCTAGACCTTCCATTGACTTCACTGGACCTTCCCCTATAGATCGCCAGCCACAAAAGAATGTCCTGAGCCACCTGCATCCATAGGACTTCCTGAATATTTTATCACATTGGCCTGCTATCTAGTGAAAGATCGTTCGAATCTTTATACCCCATCGGTTGTCAGTTTTTAAATCATAATAGATTTTTTTTTAATGTATACTTTAACATGGAGATTGATGTCATTCCGTACAAACAAGTTAAAGAAGAGCGTTCTGAACATGGAAACTAGGAAATAATGCACTAGCGGTAGAGCTAGAGCCACGCTGCAGCTATATTATGCTTGTAGCACGAGTGGGTCGGCTTAGCCGGGGTAGAACGACGCTCTCATAGAATACCAGCGTAAAATAGCAGCTTAACGCCGCTGTGTTTCGTGTGGTGAGTGTAGAGAATCGGAGACCCTTTTTACTGCTACTGAGGCATTCCATCTCAGTCCTCAAAGGTAAAAACGCATCTGCATTTTGATTCTTAATCGAGAATAAATGTAGATGTCTATTGGTCACAGCATCCAATTATCATCAAGTGGACTGTGTGCTCATTTATCACCCTTATTCCATAAAAAAAATCTATGCCCACAAGAACCTAGCTCTAATGTTTGAAAAACTATACCTTATGATAAATATTTCTAATAGATAATATAGTTGAATAGATAATATATAATAATAGAGTAATATTACCGTATGCATTTCGTTTACACAGCTTTTATGATTTAGCTTGCAGCCGCATAATATACATAAATCCTGAGGTACTCCATATTTTAAAACAAATTTGAAATGGCTTAAGGCTGCCGTTTAAATTTCCAAATACTTTATGATTGGATGAGAATTTCGATTGAAACAGGGGAGAATACTATGACCAACCAGAATAAAGGAATGGAAAGATCTCTAGCTCTACCATCAAGACTGAGAAACGGATCGTTAAAAATCTGGAAAAATGTGCATGAATGGTCTTTAGTTCTGTCGATTGATAACTACCCAATGATACTGTATCTCCATATCGTCCTATGGGTATCGAAAAGGCGACCGAGGGAAACAAAACAAAATATGGGCAGCAGCGTCTTCCTATAACAACTAAGATAAAACGTGTGGTTGCTAACCCGGCCATGCGTGGCAAATATGGCTAGAATTTCCCTTATGAGGCAATATTTGAGGAAGCCTATGTTCAGTAGTGGGCTCTGATAGGCTGTAATAATGATGACCAAATATCCATTGACGGATTTCAATGTAGGGTATGTACACTAGAGATCGGCGTTCCTTGTCCTAGCAAAGATGAAGTACAAAAAAAATGAAAATTAGAATTATACTAACTAGCAGCTGGATGGATTCCGAGGGAGGCGGCTTGGTTGGCAGCGACGCCGAGGGTCGTGGGTGGCGGGTAGCGGGAGCCGAAGCCGAAGAGCGCCGCCTGCGCCTGCGCCTGGGCTTGCGCCTGGGCAGCCGCCGCGCCGCCGGAACCTTCGCGGCCCCAGTATGCTGCAAGCAAACACAACATTCTTAATTTTGTTTCATTTGGCGTTTGTAATATTGTTTTTGTTATTTGAATTTGCCCGTCGCCGGTATAGTTATCGTGTAGTGGCGGTGTAAGATTCCACTACCCCATGTCCCGTGGGTTTCGTCAGATGCGACAGAGGGAAACTTAATCAGGAGATGGGCAGCGGCATCTTCCTAATAACAACTCAAAATAATAAAAAAATGCGGTTGCCAACCCGCCTGCCAAGCGTGGCAACTATGGCAAAATCCCCCATATATGATAATCTATGGTTGAGGCCTATGTTTAGCAGTGTACTTTTATAGACTGTAATGTGGAACGTGAGATTAGGAGAAAATTAATGGTTAATACCCCGTAACCACAGAGTCAAGAGTGTATGATGGGTGGATTTATAGGTTTATTTTAATTATTCTAAAGCGATAAATAATACTTTCTTTTTTACCTGTCGTTTGTTTTTTGGTTTTGCATAAATAAGGATAGTAGGTAATTTCATCAAAATTGTCAATGCCGCCGTCCAATTCTTAAAGCCTATATTATGTAGACTTAATATTATATATAATGACGATGATGATCTATTTTCGATTACTTTTATAGTCGATGAAATAAAGTGGATTTTGACACATGGATAAAATCCAGAACAAATTATTTGTAGGTTTGTAATACAAAGTTCCGTGCAGTATTAAAAGCGCGGCAGTTAAATGCTTAGTCACTGGGCTATCAAACCGTCGATACTTACTCTTACCTGTTTATTATTATTATTTTCGTACCTTTGATACGTTTGTATGTGGTTTAGCTACGTTTTTCTTTAGAGCTCATACACAAAGGATTCATTTTGACGATTAAGTAATACAAAAAATAATAATAAATCAAATAAAAAATGTTGATTTCATTTAACGCTACATCATTTTTATCGTTAATTGTTACTCTGAAATGAGTGGCAAGAAAACAAAACGAATATGGGTGGATGCCCCTATTACCAGCCTTTTAGTGCCAATTTCAACTTTAAAAATTCCTGCAACTTTAATTAGGGCACAATATTTTTTAACATTTGTTTTAATCGATAGGTTATTTATGGACAAATGTAATGATCATTTATTTACAATCATATTATTTCAAGAACAATTTAAAAAAAGACGATAAGCAAAAAAAGGCGTTATGGCCCAAATTCCATCCACCCTGAACCTAATGTCGTACTTTTGTGTACCTAATGTCAGCATAGCATAGAGTTGTGAATTTTGAGTTTTTGGTAGGTACCTATTGTAGGTAAGTTTTAGAGGCAAAGTAATAAATTTGTAACAATTTTAATTTTGAATCTGCATGTCACAAGCATGGAATATGTATTAAGGCAGACGATAACATTATTTTATTTTAATGTTTTACTACTTAACTTACTGTGTTTTAGTTTAAAGCAGTTCAATAAATTAAAGCAAATTATGATAAAATATTAGGTAATACATCGATTTCTAATAATTTAATCATCCAAGTTTTCAAATCATCATCGTCATTACAGCCTTACACAAGTCCACTACTGAACATCCTCCTCCATAGACTGCCGCAAAGCCCCTGGTCCTAATCCACTTTCCTTGTCATGAGTTTTTCATTTATGTTCTAAGTTATAATTAGTATTACTAAGTTATAGTTTTGCTTGTATATACTATATTTATTGCTTGTTTTTTCTTCTTTCTCAAAAAATAATTTAATATATATGGTGTTCTTAATATATATCGAATGTCAGATAGAAAAGCTAAAACATCTTTGGCTAAACTTTAAAATCTAAAACCAATTTTAAAACAGATGAATTGATTATAAGTTCCTTAACTGTAAAATAAGTTATGATCTAATTAATGGTATTTGTTCCAGTTTATGACAGCCCTGATTTATATTACGTGGCTGAAATTAGGTACTTCTTATTAGGTACGTCAACCCAAATTACAGCCGGGCGGCTGACATTATGCACTCCATACATTTCGTATATCTAATTACAGCCCCATTAATTTCCACTAAAAACGAATATAAACAATTTGTAAATTTAAACAAAAATAACTGCATTACTATCTCTATAGTCATATTCATACAAATCAAAAAGCCTATATATGAGATAATGTAAAGTAAGCATAATTTTACCGGGATCATAACTTGTCAAAAAAATTGGTAAATGAGCGTTTTCCGTTGCGTACGTGTTTTGATTTTTAATTTAACACTGTTAGGTTTAAAACTGTGAGGTAATATTTGAAATATACTTTCCTCTAGTTACGAAGAATTTTTAGGTGACAATACTTGTAGTTAAGACTACTAGAAATCTTATTTACGAAGTAAAAGGCGAAAAGGCTGGAATTAGGGGCATGGCTGCTATTAGGGGTTGATAGTTTTTTCGTTCTTAACTTGTAGTTGTAATCATTAAGCATAAATAAATAAAATAAATAAATAAAATAAATAATAATAATTTTTGGTTTTTAGAGTTAAAAATGTATGTATAGATAAGGAAGAGCGGGGTTTCCAAACACAAGCATTACTTGCTTAAATAGAGACCCCAATCAACTATCTAATTAATTTAAGTTTGGTGAAGAAAAAATAAATTATTTTATTTTTTATTTAATTTATAAATACATTATTTAAGCTATCTTTACAGCCTAAAGGGACATTATAGAAATATTAGAGAGATTTGACCGTTTCATGCTGTTTCGATTCGTTTAAGTCACGTAAATTATTAGAAAACTTACTAATAATTTACTATAATAACATGGGGAACACAGTTAGCGCATCGAAATCAATCGATTTTGTCACTTAATACCTAACAATAGAAGTCATTGACGTCGTAAAGACATTTGGTTATCGGGAACACGCTTGGTGCAAGGTCGACGACCTCGGTCGGGTTGACTTATATGGTGTCATGGTACAATACCACATCAGTGTTGAACGACAACTAAGCACTAATACGTGAAACTTCTTTTTCAATAAATGATAACGTTCGAGGCGCTTGTTGACCAATGAAAGTGCTAAAATTTTAATTTTAAATTAGTAGTCGTTAAGTTATTTTATGTATAAGCCCGTTTATGCTATATTTATAAAAACTTTAATATCTACGAATAAGATGAAGTGCGGATTTTTATCAACGAACGATTCAAGATTGGGCATCTTAACCGTGCCTTATTTGTATTAGAAGTCGGCAAGTTTGGAAAACAACACGGGAAGTGGTAGGTATCCATTAACATCAGATACCCAGATGGAACCACAGCATAAATAATATAACAAGATAGAACAGTAATTAATTATAGGATATTAATTATACGAAAAAATAAACGCTTCGGCTGAAGTTGTTACAAAATGGGTTAAAATATGGTTAAAATAAATTAATGATATACAACAAAATACCGCAGCAAATAAACGACTTCTTCAAAATAAATTTTACCAGGTAAACGATTGTTAAATGATTTATGAATAGAGGACAACAATGATAGGAGCCATAGACTCAGGATAGTAAGAATATTCGAAGTATATGATAGGAACTATAGTTGATAATTCTCTATATATGCTCTATATAATAAAAATCAATTGCTATCCTTTAGTCTCACTAAAACTCGAAACTGGCTGGACCGATTTTGATGAAATTTTGGTGTATGTTTTCTATCACAGTGCACCTGATGGTAAATGGTTGCTGCGACCCACAGACATCTACATCTATCCTTGATTACGAACCAAAATGCAGATGCGTTGTCACCCGTGATGACTAAGATGGAATGCCTCGTTTACAGTAAAAAGGGTCTCCGGTACTCTACACTCACCATACGAAACACAGCAGCGCTAAGCTGCTATTTTACGCTGGTATTCTGTGAGAGCGTGGTTCTTCCCCGGTCGAGCCGACCCATTCGTGCTACAATTATACTACTAATATAATTGCAACATGGCTCTATCACGTAAATTCTTCATTAACTTGTCATATAAGACCTCGCTTCTTGCTAAACTACGGGGAGTACTCAATAGTTTTTTTTTATAATTAAATAGATCGGTTTAAATAGCCGTGTAAAAAAAAAACACTTTTATTCTATAAAATATAAAAATGAAAAGCTAGGTAATTCACAAAAAATACTCTAACTACCACAAACAAGTAACACGTCTTATATTTATTGATATATATCTTTATATATAAAAATTACGTGTCACCACATTGTTTGTCCGCGATGAACTCCTAAACTACTGGACTGATTTCAATGAAATTTTGCACACTGTGTGCAATTTGGTCCAACTTGAGAGATAGGATAGTTTTTATCCCGATAAGTAACCCTCAATTTTTTTAATTGCTAATTTCAGGAGTTTTTTTTTTGGAAAGCAAATCGGAAAGGGCTGAACAACGTCTGCCTGGTCAGTTAGTATATATATATATATATATATATAAATAGATATATAACATAATATTATGTTCTTTTGCGTACATCCATTACAGCCTAAAAATTCCACTGCCGAACACAGACCTCCAAAAATTTGCTCTTAGGGGGTATTTTGCCTTAGTTGCCAGGGTTGGCAGTCGGGTTGGCAACCGCAGTTTTTATAATTTTGAATTGTTATCAGTAAGATGCTAATGCCCAACTCCTCTTTCAGTTATCCTCTGCTGCCTCTTACGACACCCACGGGATGATATGGGGTAGTGGGTATGCTTACAAAGTCACTACACTATTATATTCTTTTATTAAACTTAAATTTACGTTATTCAATTATTACACTAACCGCTTTAGCTAATGACAGCTGATAGTTTTACTGGATTTAGTAAATTTATTTCAACACGATTATAGTCCCAAACGTGTAAAGTAAGTAATCAATGAAGTAGATAATCATTATCATCATCATTACAGTCCTTCACAAGTCCACTGCTGAACACTCCCTCAAGGAATGCCACAAAGCACGGTCCTGTGCCAACTGCATCCTTCGACTTCCTGCATGTCTTAAGCTCAAGGTCACTCAGCGAGCTAAGGAGAGGGCTATGCCCGGGGTTTCTTTGCGTGATAACTTAGAAATGAGGATATCCGCAGTAGAACCAGACATAGCCTAACGGATTAGTAAGCTGAAGTGGCAATGGGCCGGCTGTATAGCTCGAAGAACCGACAACTGATGGGGGGAAAAAAGGTTCGAGTGGCAGTCTCGTACCAGTAGGCGAAGTGTAGGGCGGCCCCCCAGTAGATTGAGTGACGACCTGGTAAGACATGCAGGAAGTAGATAACGTGTATAACAAAATAAGTAATCGTTTTAAACTCTTAGCAAGTTGCGTAACATAAAATATAGTTACCGCTTTTAAATGTTTTTTATCACACAAAACTTTAGCGTAAGACATCTTTTAAAAGCTATAAACTTAATCAGGTATGGATGAACAATCCATCCCGAGAATTATTGGTAAGGTAAGCATCTAACATTTATTTAACGTAAAGGCAAGTGGACTAAAGGACAAACTCAACATTGTAGTGGAAAAAATATTCTCCCGCACTTCGCGGTCTACATCATGGTCGGTGCTCCAATTGCAAATTAACGAATTAAGATTGTTTTGTTTTATTTGCACTGTGAGACTGCTTCTTGTCAAATTTCATGTTTGTAGGTCAATGGGAACTACCCTACTTATAGGTTTTAACAAGTTAGTTTGTGAGAATCAAAATAAGTGATATAAATGGCCGTACCTTTCGAAAGCTTGATTTTTTTTACATTATAGGACCGTAAACTTTAGTATTTCATTTTAATTTTAACTCGATACCTTTACCCGTTCCTGAGAAAAGGGGCCTTGACATACGGACAGACAGGCAACAATGTGGTCGTATTAGGATTCCGTTTTTCCTATTTTGAAATACGGAAGCCTTAAAAAGTATATCGTTGCGTTTACTGTATTAAATAATTTAAAATAATAGATTTTTGTTAAAGTCGAAAGAGCTCACCTCCGAATAAACCAGCGGCGTCCAGCAAGCCGTCGGGCGGCGGCTTGCCGGCCGCGTCGCCACCCTCACCATTCTCCTTGTCCATGCCACGCCTGAAACGACAAGACAACAGGTTATTCATACAAATATAAAGTCTTACATACTCGTAACATACATACAATGCACACATAATTTGGCATTCGCATTTTAAATTAAGTTAAATACAATGAAGTCATAAATATGTAATAAAGACAATTGGATAAAACTACGACATGTTTTTATTCATCCATCACGCACGGCGAGATTCCACCCCGTTGTTGTAAATATAATATACTTCCCCGCAACTTCGCCCGCGTGGAATTATTTTGCGTGGAACCCTAAAAAGTAGCCTAAGTTACTCCTTGGCTTACATATAAAATATAGATTATACTGTCGCGGACTTTTTTGTAGAACTATTCAGGAGAAACAATTCCACCATACATTATATTCGTGTTTATCTTAGAGTTTTTGCACCGCACCCCAAAATAGCTCGCAGATGACAGATTATTTCCGACTTAATAACATTTATCGTTATATTTTGGCCAATTTACACAATATCTTTATGAATTATAGCTTATGTGTTATTCTGAAATATAAGCTATATAATTGTAAGGTTTCATTAAAATCCATTTAGTAGTTTTTGCGTGAAAGAGTAATAAACATCCATACACACACACAAACTTTCACGTTTATAATATTAGTAGGATTATATAAATAGCCTAATGGCTTCGTCATATTTAATGCAAACAATAAAAGACTTTTTTTATATGTTCCGGATACAATGTGTAAGTCTTTATAAGGAGATTGAATCCATTTGAACAGTGCTACTACGTATTTTTTGATTAAATAATGAAACATAAATAGGTGGTTTGCGTTGTCTACAGTAATTAACCTCGAAAAATCTTAAGGTCAAATACGTAAATCGCAAATTGTTATTATTTCGTATTTCATTAGCATTTAATTTATGTTTCATTTCATAAAAAATACAAAAAAGCAGATGAGAACCGTATATTACAATAACAAATTTTTTTAGTTATACTAGCGCACCGTCTATGTACAACGAACTACTTTATTGTTGTTTTTTTTTTGTAATACTAATTTTCATTTAAAAAATTACGACATTATTCAAAGCAATGCAGAAATATTAATTTATGTATATTATTATATTTTCACCCTGCAAAATTTTGTAATTGATTAAATTTAAATATAATAATCTAATATATAAAATTGATTTTTGTTTGTTCGTATTTTATGCGCTGCCGCCATACCGTTCGTCTGATTGCGGTAAAACTTTGTCAACTTATTGCGTGCACCTAGGTGCGCGAAGGTTATAGGCATAGCACAATTAACTTACAGTAGCTACCGACAAATTTATTTGAAAATTATGTATCATTCAACTTCAATGAATGTATTATCATTCCTAATTAAATAATATAACCCCTCCAAATTTAAAACGAAATTTCCACAATTTTTTCTTCTGTGGCAGCAACGCGCCGGGTACCAGCTAGTTTAAAAAACTACAGTTACATTTGTGAAAAACTATAAAAATGATAAAGCTTAACAGTAGCTAATCAGCATGATCTTTAATGGCAGGGGCAGGCGCACACATTCCACCCTATTGTATTGTTTCCATTATTTTCGGATCAAGCGAAGTTAGCCCCGTTACCTTTCTATAATCTTAAATGGACATAGCCTAGGTTAGTGGACGGTGTGCTCTTTTTTTTATAGAATAAGGGTAACAAACGAGCACACAGTCCACCTGATGGCAAGTGGCTGCTGTGACCCATAGACAACTACATTTATCCTCAATAAAGAATCAAAATGCAGATGCGTTGTCACCCGTGAGGACTAAGATAGAATGCCTCTTTTCCAGTAAAAAGGGTCTCCGGTTCTCTATACTCACCATACGAAACACAGCAGTGTTAAGCTGTTATTTGACGCTGGTATTCTGTGAGAGCGTGGTGCTTCCCCGGTCGAGCCGACCCATTCGTGCTACAACTATACTACAAATATAGCTGCAGCATGGCTCTACTACGTTGAAACAATATGTGTGTATGTGCGGTGAAATCAAAAAGCTGCGGATAAATTACTACGAAATGAATTTTATGAGCAGTAGCGTCATGAGTAGTAGGTGCTAGTACGATACTCTGAATAGCACTCATTTTTTTAATGTAATAATTAATAATTAAAAATGTTGTAAAACCGACTTCAATATACCTATATTGAGAAGGATAACTAAAAACTATCGTTTGTCACCCTATCCTATAAAAAAAACTTGACATTTATATGGGACCACATGAGAAGCATCAGCTTACAAATAAAAAAAGATTCATCGAAATCGGTTCACATAGAACAAAGTTATGAGGTAACACACATTAAAAAAACATACAGTCGAATTGAGTACCTCCTCCTTTTTGAAGTCGGTGGAAAATAGGAAATAAATTGTGCACTATCATTAAAATATTCGACTGAACATAATTAGAAATATTTTTCATATTAATTCTGTATTAATATAAATTTTATTTGTCTAATATAGAACAGCGTACATAAACTTCACTTGTAAGTAGTGCGCCCACGCGGAGTAGATTACTCCCCCTTGGGGTGATTTGCGGCTTGAATGGATCCCCCCCCCCACGTTTTCTCCCTAAATACTCCATGAATGGTAAGAAAATTAATTTGTGATTTATATTTCAGCTTAATATCTTATATTAAAAATATATTTGTAAGCCACGTAATGCGAGTGTTTGCGGGTTTCGAATGGTAGGGATTTTAGATAATAGAATAGAATAATTTTTTATTAAATATTGATTATTACATAATACTTATTGAAAGTCATTTTTTATTTATCACTGGTTCGGAAAATACCTCAGTCCTGGGAAGAACCAGCAAGAAACCCAGCGGGACTTTTTTTTTAAACATAATTTCACTTAACAATAATTTTGTTTATACAATTTTTAAATGATTTTTCATAGAACCAGCATGGTGGTGATCACCCTATTCCCAGGGGTTATTTTCATTCATGTATTCCTTGATATTATAATAACCCTTTTTGTACAGTTTTTCTTTAATAAAACTTTTAAAGTTGTTTATTGACAAACTTTGAATATGTTCTGGGATTTTGTTGTAAATATTGCCCCATAAATGAATTACTGATTCTGTGGAGTCTAGTAACTGGCATTACAAGCTTATGTTTGTTTCTAGTATTTAAAGTATACACATCCTTATTCTTATTAAAGCTAATTATGTTTTTATGCACATACATTACATTCTCATAAATATATTCCGATGCCAAAGTTAATATGTTTATTTCTTTAAATTTTCCTCTGAGGGACTCTTTACAATTTAGGTTATAAATCGCTCGTACGGCTCTCTTTTGCAAAACAAATATAGCTTCAATATCATTTTTTTTTATAGGATCGGGTGACAAACGAGCACACAGTCCACCTGATGGTAAGTGGTTACTGTGACCCATAGACATCTACATCTATCCTCAATAAAGACTCAAGATGCAGATGCGTTGTCACCCGTGAGGACTAAGATGGAATGCCTCTTTGCCAGTAAAAAGGGTCTCCGGTTCTCTACACTCACCATACGAAACACAGCAGCGTTAAGCTGCTATTTTACGCTGGTTTTCTGTGAGAGCGTGGTCCTTCCCCGTTCGAGCCGACCCATTGGTACTACAACCATAATATAGCTGCAGCATGGCTCTACCACGTAGATCATGAATGAGAAAGCCTCTTTCAATCTCACCCTAATGGTGTAGTAGCAGGTGACTTAAAGAAAGGCCCAAATTTTGTGGTGTTATGTATAGATATTGGTATCATCATACCGTATTCACCCAATAAATCCCAAAAACGGCGACGGGTAGTAGCGTCTAAGATGTCAATTGCGTGTATGTAGTCTTCAGCCAACTGAATAGCAACACTCAAATACTCGTATCAAGCTTATTGGTATATCTTTACAAAAAGAATTTAGGGTATCCTGATTCAAGACTATTAATTAAAACCGGTTTAGAGTTAAGAATTAACCATTCTATTCTCCCAGTATAACAGGTACCCCACTTTGAACTGCAATTTAAATTTAAATTCTACAAACTAAACGTTTGAACCAACTTTATGCAAACGTAATTGTTCACAACCTGCCATGGTCGATGACAGGCATAATTTTTGCAGTTTTATGGCACATTTTAATAATTATATTACGCACGCTATTTTAATAATAAATTTATTAAACGTAGGAAATTTCTTTCTTATACTGACAAGTAATAAAGCGGCGGAAAGTTATTTACTTCTTTTTCTTTATTTACGAGTACATAAATATTAAATTCTATTTTAGGATCTCAAGCAAACTCAAACAGTACAACCGAAGAGATTGACAATAACCACAAGGTTTCCTTTCTATTAGGAATCAGCGATATGAACATGAATAGCGAACCTTGTATGTGAAATCTACAAATAGCGCTTACTTATGTCTAGTGTAAAACGACTCAAAGAAAAGAAACAGTTCACCTGGCGGCAAGTGGATGCTATGGCTGATAGACAACGATATCTTTATTAGATTAAGAATCAAAAAGCAGATGAGTTATAATCATTGAGAAGTTAAATGAAATACCCATTATACGATTACAGTTACTTATAAGAAATTTATCACAACTTTATTATAAGTTTTGAAAATTTAAGCAAGAATGGTCGGTAACCAAATTTAAATCGTTCTTCTTCTTCTTCTTCTACCTAGCGTTATCCCGGTTGCTCATCCCGCCCAGCGCGGGAGAACCAAGGGTCCGCTTTCCGACACTTCCTCCTCCACTTTGCCCGGTCTTCGGCGTCCCTCACAACTAGCCCATTGGCGCGCATGTCATCCTGCACGACATCAAGCCAGCGTTTCTTGGGCCGTCCTCTACTCCTGGCACCAGGTAAGGTCATGTCCAGGCATTTGTTTCCCACGTAGCTTGCTGGTCGTCGTAAGACGTGGCCGTACCAGCGGAGGCGACTTTCCTGCAGCTTGTCAGCAATGTCACGGACATGGAGGCTGCCGCGGATGTATGTATTCCGTACACGGTCTTTCCGT